CTATAGATGTTACAACAATTGCATGAACTAGCCAAAATTGCTAGCCCTAGTTATATTATATAAAATCCAAATCACCAATATAATCCCTAACTTTGAACAATAATTTTTAAGTCTTTAAAAATCCTAAAAAAACAATCCTTATGCTTCTAGAAAGAACTTTAAGCTAGCTCTCAAATCTTAGTCTTCGATCTTCAAATGAAACCCTAATTTATCCTAGACATTCATTTTAGTAACCAAAGATCTGATTCTGACCCTGTCTCACAAATGGTTGACTCTCGAGTATCAATCTAATCTATCCTAAGGATTTTTTAGCCCAATCCTATCCTAAACTTGATCCTAGTATCAACCATACCAACCATTTACCTCTTCTATTCTAATTTTAATAATTTATGGTATTTCTAAGGCTATAAAAAAATTTCTATATCCTAGAAGGTAAAAATACTAACTAACTTTTATCTACTTGCTATTATGACAAGAAAATAGGCTAAGAGGCTTTCATAAAAGCCTTATTAAAATATTTTGAATTCTTGTTGAACTAATATAATAGAGTATTAATTTAAAAATTATTTTTAGTCATATTTTTACTATATAATCGTGTCACAATACAACAATGTTTCATAATGCCATTGTAAGAGGAAAAGAATTTGTCACAATATTGAAGTTTCTATCTTATTTTAAGCAAAAAAATATTGTAGTAGAAAGAGTTTGCCTCAAAAAAGTATTGGGCCTCTCGCTACTATTAATTACTCAATCAAGTTGTAACTTTATAAAACACAAATCTTATTTATAGTTTGTCCTCATGAAGACATTTATATCAAATATACAAATTTGGGATGCATAAGAATTTTCAAGATGTGACTAGATATCTTAAAACTACTACTATTTTTATAAAAATTCTTTTTAATTATATATTATCTTATAACTTCCAATCTATCCATTTAATTGAATTTAAACTTTTCTATAGATTATTTTATATCCTTAATTACTTCCATAAAAAAATTCAACTTTAAATTCAATATAGATCTTTAGATATCACCTAATTTCTAGCAAGTACTAAACATATCAATTTCTAGGCACTTATGCTTTAAATTCAATATATCTAAAAAATCCAATACTTAAATACCATGAATTTTTCATTTATAACTTTTTAACTCAGTCATCTAAAGTTGTAGAAATTTTGAGCTAAAAATTTGTTGAGTAACTCAAGATTTGACCCAAACCAAAACCTCTATGAAAAGAACTCACTTACAAATTCTAGTTTTGAAGAACTAACTTTAATAGTTTTTTCTCTTTCATTCTTTTATATAAAATGTAGCTGTTAAAGTTAACTTTTTAATGCCATCTTTTGATTACTAAATGTCATCTTACACCACTCTATGTACTTAAAAGAGTAACAATAGGTATCAAATTCACATCTTAACTTCAAACAACCATATCTTCTTCATCCAAAACTCAAATCATACATTTTTTATACCGAATTTCTAATTCAAAACACAAGCTTTTTAATCCAACCTCCAAACTTTGAATAGTCTTTCTTGCCTCAAATGGGGGCCTTGAAGTGGCCTCAAACTCTATTGTAATTCCAGACAATAAGTCAAAGCCCATTAGAGATGTCTTTCAACTAATAAGAATAAAGTCTTTTATTACTCATCTTATCCACCTACATGGAATGGCCTAAGAGCCAAAATTTTATACTTTTGATACCAAAGCCCCTCTAAACTTCTTATTAATAAATCCTACAACTTTTATCTTTAGTTACAAAACTTAAATTATAAACTTAAACAAATTAGATAAGTATTTTATTTATTTTATTTTATTTTATTTTATTTTTAATTACAATCCAAACTTTCATAATATTTCAAATAATTTTTATATATTATGCTACTTTTTAGTATGATACCATTTTGATGTTATATTTTTAATTCATATCACCAAATAGTAGTAAATTTTATCTTAAATTATTAATATATAGAGTTATAATTGTATATTTTGTTAAAAAATAGTTAATGGAACAACCTTGATTTCTTCCATGATAAAAGAAATTGAACAATAATATAGCAAATCCACAAGATTATATGAAGTTACACCACTAGTTATTAATTAATCATCACAAAATCTTCTTCTTTTTAGCATCATTAAGTATTTCTACTCATAAATCATTGACATAAAAATAAACATACTTTGATTACATAGCATAATACATAGTTTAAATGTTATGAATTGAAAAACGTATCAAAAAAATCACCTATGTTTTTGTCCACTTACAGAAGATGCAATCAATTCTTTGAGATAGTCCTCACTATTTCTATTAGATCAAACCTTGTCAAATATAGTATCTAGACTACCAACTCCTACTAACTCATTATTATACAAATTGCCAAATAGTCCATCTATACTTGCAATAAATATATCTCTTCTAGCAACTTGTAAAGAAAAAACTTGCAAAAATCAATTGTTTATATCAACAAAAAATCAAACTTTCATTTTAATCATGATCACAACTATAATAAACAAAGACAAAGATGAATCATTATATTCAATTACTTTTTTAAACATGCATTTTTTTAGATTATGAAGAACTTTTGAATAAACAAAAGAAACTATTTACCATGAAGAAGACCTAACATAAAAAGGGCATCAATAAATAAATAAGCTATTGTATTGCATATAAATTATCAAGCATAGTTACCTCAACAAGATTAGGTAGATCACTACCACCACTTTTTAATTGAAAAGGGATATTAAATTATTATTATTGAACTAGAGACTTGAAAATGGTTTGATTATTTGTCATCAATATAAAACCACAATCTTCAAGGTTAGCAACTTGTAATCATTTCAAACATAACATGTAAAAATTAACCATTGATTATAAATAAATTATCTTTAAATCATTCAAAATAAGTCAAATTATTTGTATTTCATGTAAAATTCCAAGAGAATATTTTAAGTAATATTGAATTCATTACCATCAATTCTTAAAGAATGATCAAAAGCGATATAGCCACAACTCTTACAAAAATAAAAAAATATTGATAATAAAGATACATACATAAAACAATAATGACATGTGATTTTTTTACAAATAAATTGTTATAAGATTATTTATAATAAACAAATAAGCAATGTAAAATAAAAGACTTATGTAATCAGAGATATTTAGAATACATACAATGGATGAACTAGGGCACTTTATCCTTGTATGAGTCTAAAACATTATGCAAGTTGGATCTATATATCTATGTGGAACTTTAGCAACCACTATCCTAAATGGTAGATATTACTCAACATAATACAACACAACTCAAATAAGCATAATGTGACAATTTTGTACTTCAATTGACATAGTAGAACTTGCTCGACACAACTCAACTTAAACAAGTATAGTATGACAAAGCTAAAATATGCACATAATAGAAACTAAGAGAATGTTGCTTCAGAAGTAGAGACTATGACCAAATTTGAGTGGACTTAAGCAACTCTAAGCTAGAAAGTGGGAATAAGAGAAGAACTTGTTTTGAGTTTTGTCTCTCATTTCCTTTTAAATAGTTAAGATTCTTTGAGGAAGATTATAAAATTGGAGACAATTATGATTGTAACCATGATAAAAAAGTATGGTAATCATGATTAATATACTTAGTTTTTATTGGTTGTGGATCCAGTAGTAAAGAAATGAATCTAAAGGTTTTTTTTTTATATATAATTATGATTATAGATGAATTTTTTTAATAAAAGATTGGATCTATTTAATATATATACATATATATATATATATATATATTTATTTATTTATTTATTTATTTATATATTAATATATATTATATCTTAATGTCATGAAATAAAAAAATTAAAATACTATGGATATCAATTTTTAATAATTCTATTATAATTAAACAAACTTTGCATGCATACTTGATTTATCAATTTTTAGCATATTATGTAGATAGAAAAACAAACTCTTAGCTACATAATAATAACTATAAAATAAATAAAAATAAATAAAATAGTTCTTTTATTTTATAAATTTATTTTATTTTTAACTATACAAGATAATATTTTAAATATAAACTTTTGAGATTATTTTTGATAGTTTGTAGTAAATATGCTATTAATATATTTATATCTAAATAGTAAAAAATTAGATATTAATTATATCTAAAATATTTATATAATTAATGAATATTTTTAAAAATAAATTTATTTTTTATGGTATATTAATTTTGAATGATTCTTTTAATAAAAGAAATAAATATTTTGATAAATTTTCTGTTAAAAAGATTTTTTTATTAAAAAAATTCAAATTTATTTTTTATATTTTTTTTACATGTAATAATCATGAAAAATCTAAATATTACCAATATTCAAGGCCCTTGTTAATGAATGGTTGAAAAATAAGCAATATATGTGTATTTATACATACATAAATACATACATACATACATTCATTCATTCATTCATTGTTACAAAATATTTTAATTTTATTTGCATAAAAACAACACATGTGCATTGATTTTGCAAAAGATTTAAGGTCCTCAATATTTCTAAATATTACTATCTGTTTTATGTTTACAACAAATTTTTCACAAAATTTAAATTCAAATTTTTTTTTCTCTATCCATGTTTTATTGAGTGTTTAATTTTAGTCAAACAACCAATGTTGAGCTATCTATGATTTGCCTCCAGTATCAAATATTAATAATCTGGATGGATATTTTAATTTTTAAAAAATATTGTAATTTTTAAACCACCAGTATTGATGTTTTATTATTTATAAATATATCAATAATAAATATCAAATATCAAATGTAACACTTAACAAGTTATATAGGCATGTATTCACAATAATAGTAATATTGTATTCAATCTATAAAAAAACAAAGTCTTATTATATTTAGGACTATGAAATGCTATATTGTTGCTAATTAAAGATATCATCAAACAACACTTCAGCCAGCTAGAACTCAGCCAGCAAACTGCAACCCATAACGAAGGCCAACATTATTCCAAATATTTTTTTCACTTTAATTATTCTGTATCTACAGTTGGGTTCTGCACTGCATTGAAAACTTTGTTTGTGTTGGTTTCCAGGAGAGCTGTAGTTTGGGGAATTGTGCTGAAAACTGAATATTATGCTTACTATTAATGAGATGGTTGGAATTCAGACCCACGACAATTTCCAAACTAAAGCACTTCATTCACTGCCTCCTTGTTCCAAGACCAGCTCTGGCCTGCATGCCCCCTTGCAGAACCCTTTTGACGTGGTGTACAGAATCTAATTTGAAGGACCTCTCTGACCTAAATAGTGGCAATACTAGATTTTACAAGAGTTGTGAAAGCAGAGACGAACAAACTGTAAAATGGGGCCATCAAGAGAGTACTTCCTAAGGGCAGTAGGACACTACTGTGTCGAAATGACTGTTAACTCACCCGGAGAGCTGGTGCTTCATTCCTGATCCAAGCCAACCTCGTCCATAGTCTCTACGTTCTCAGCCTTCAATATGAAGACAAATTTGTGCCATGGTGCAGAAGAAATTGATGGAACAAATTTGGAACCATAGAGTACGTTACTTTCGTCTATAGAATACCATATGTAGGCACACAGCTATCAAAGACTAGTTGAATGTGATGGGCTGTAGGTGGAAATCAGATATTCAGAACAGGGATCGCCAGTTTTGTTCGACATAAACACATCCTCCAATATAGACACATTATCCTTGTCCGTTCTATCTTGATGTCTGCAGCTGAGGGAAGAGAGTTTAATGAGGAAATGATGTGGAAAGCATTTGTGAAACTGTTAAGTACTGATACAGCATTCATAAGAGATAACAGAGGCTGACTGTATAAAGCAGCTACTGCATCCATGTAGTGTAGTACAACACACAAAAACTCAGCCTCCGCAACATACACCTTCATGGTTCTTGTGACACTCTGAACATCTTGTATGGGGGAGTCCTTCGCCTTCAATATTAGTTCCTTCGTTGACAAACATTTGACTGTGCTTGATCTGGCTCAGCAAGTTGTTTCGCAAGGCTCACTGCTTCATAATAAGGATTTACAGTGGTGAAAATTCCAATAGTACAAACAGCTTGCAGCTTTGCCCTAGTTCCAATAAAATACCTATGACTAACTCCACAAGCTAGCAAGGTTAGCAGTCTCGATGACAAGGTTAAAAGCATTGGAAACACTCAAATCTACCAGATCCTACTGCTGCTCATCCTCAAATAAGGTCATGTTACCATCCTTATTGAGGGTTGACTCTGTCCTACCAAACTGAATCTCTGGGGGTTTATGTCGAATTCACATGCAGTTCAACTACAGTGTTATGTCCACTTTAACAATTACAATAATAAGTCGACTTGCATGTGCTAGTGAAATCAAATATGGAGTCAAGGGTAGTATATAATTACGCATGCAATCTTAAGGAAAACCAACGTTCAATTGTAATCACCAGAACCGAACTGATCAGCCATTCACATGAAAAAAGCAGAATACAAGTTATTACATTAGGTAGCCATCATCCGAAGAGAGATTGATGAGATGATTATTACCACTTTTTCAGGTTTAACAATAGTTTTGTAGGGTGTTGAAACTGATCACCCTCGAAATGCAGCTATTATACTTGTTGCCCCGGAAGCCTCTCAGATCTCCACAACTCTCTGACAGTTTTCGATGCCCCTGCAGGTTCCTGAGGCTTGTTCTCAAGGGTTACCGGAATGATGATAAACAGTAAAGTGCGAAACGATACAAAGAAGTCAGAAATTGTGAAAACATTGTTCATGAAGCTGCTCTTAATGGCCTCAACTGTTTCCTAATTCCTCTTTGGTCAAAATAAATCTGGCACCTTAGTAATACTGAGAGCATTACCGCCGCTGCATGTTCCTGAACCTCCAACTGCTTCAATACAGTAAACAGAAAATTCAAAACTTCAACATCTACTACTTACGAAAAATAATACCATATGATACATCAATATTTGTCAATTGAGATCCCCAATCTACTTGGATATAACATTTAAAACTCAGAAAGCTCGTAACTTGTAGAGCATAATTTAAAATCTCGTCAAACTAGATTAGCATACAGTAAAGGAAATTACGACATATTATCCGTGTGAACGTAAAATTAACTTCCTGTGGACAACGTTAGTTATAAACATCTGTTGTTAGTCGAAATTCACACACTAGTGTATCTTGGGCAGGGCATGCTACTTCAACAAGCGAGTAATTTTCAAATAGCTCTGGTTACCTCAGAACTTTCTAAGCGCAAGAGATGTATAGTTCACATTGATTTGTGCAAGTCCATGAGTATGCAAACAATATTGCTGATTCATACCGAAGACTTAAAGACTAAGAAAGGAATTGAAAGAATGGTGTATTATTGAAGTTTCCGTGTGTCCGTCAAGGAGGAGCACGTCGGTGAGGCTTATGGTTAAAGCTAATACGCGCTAAGCTTTTCAAAAAGCTCAGCAACATAATAAAGTTTCATTCTGTGGAATGCCTAGGCTTTAACAACCTCAATAAACCAGCAGAAGGGAGTCGATATCGTCATAAATCCTGATCTTTTATCATCCTGCGAACAAAATCGAATTCATTTAATTTATTTCTTACTAAGACGAAAATAAGGTACATTTTAAGGATAGAAGGTTTATCTCATCTCTACAAAAATTTAATGAGTTAAGAATATTTTTAAGATTAAGCTTATTCTGCAAGTGGATACCTTGCTTTTTTTCCACTAGGTAAACTGATAAACCACTTCCTTTCTAACAATAGCTTAGGTTAAATGTGATTTTTTCTAATGCAAGATAGTCATTGTGACGCCTCAGATCGAGGGCATTTAAGCTCTTACTTGAAGTTGCCAAGCATTCAGAAAGTACGTCGTTATTGCAGAATCAAGCGGTCGGGTACTAGTAATAAACTGGAAGGAGAAACAATTTACCGAGCCGTGTTATTCCTCTGAATATACAATTCATCTTCTCAATATGCTCCAGCTGTGATAATCAGCATATCTGCATAAAAGAAAATGTTGGTGTGCCCCTCAATTATCCTGAATTCTTAATCTCATCATGAGCTTACGGATCTGGAGACTCAGATTACGCGTAACAAGGGCAACAATTCAAGGAAAACACTCGCCGTCACAGAAAAACGAGCAGAGATCACTGTAACACCAGGCTTTTGATATAAGTTAGTGCCTGCAAGCCAAAGATCTTTGAGCATTTGGTCAGATCTTTTTCCGTTTGGTCTTCGAGACGTTCACTGTCTGAAGCCTCACACGAGTTTTAATTATCTACAACCAAGATTAAATCGAGACACAATATGTACTACCTAGTGCACAAATTCCCAAAAAAGCAGAACCAAATACCTCATTGAAGTTTCCTTGATGCAAACTGTAAATGTTGCTAGCAAAAATACGCTAGTCACCATCTCTGATTTGCTCTTCGATTGCACCTGGTATTTGTTACTTGTCTCCATCTACTTGACGATTGAACAAGATAGATGACACAATCCTGTAAACGTCTGAAATGCGATCGTCCAATGCAACAAATTGAAACATGTTATTGAACTTTGATCTAGAACCACTAATGAAATATACTTAATCGTCAATCCATGCAGGGAGGACAATTTTTAAACGGTTACTACTCGATTTTCTGGTTCACGCATCAAGTGATGGCAAGCAAAAAAAAAGCTTGGCATAGTGAACGCAACGAAAGTGCAGGTCAGCGCCACAGCATACAGGCACTTCGACATAAGAATTATTGTGATTTGGTTGCAAGAGAGCATTCTCAAGGCAAGACAATAGATTCTTATCAAGTACATAATCTGTGACAGATCGCTAAGTTTAATTGTGTAACAGTACATTGAAGTATAGCCTCTCCAACTATACTGAATGCGGAGTCTTTCAGGGTGTTGGTTGAATCTACTGTAATGCGAGAGGTGAATTAAATGGTTGTGCTTCTGATTTTCCAACTTTCCGATCGCAGCTCTGCAAGATCGACTAAACTTATCGACGCAAATATTGAAACAATGTTTTTTTTTACATCTTTGAAAAGAATACGATTTCTAATGAAGACAGAATATGTTGTAAAACAAGTAACTTGTGAGGGCAGATTTACCAAGAATCACACGTACGAAACGACGATAGCATTGAACCCGGAGGGCACAAAGGCGATGAGAATCAGCGAGATGAAGATGACCACCGGGACAAACATGAGGAACGGGGGCGGAGGAGGCAACGGCGGCAGGACGATCGGAAGCACCAGCAGCATGAAGGCCAGGCTCAGTAGCAGCACCACAGACATCAACGTGAAATTAACCATCAAATTAAATCACCTGCCCTCTTCAGATCGATGTCCTGTGAACTTTTTTGAACACGATACACCCACGCAAGTCGACAAAAAGCAGCCAATCGGCTGATCAGATCATCATGGCTGAGGCCATTCAGTTGAGTCGCTTTCCAAAGAAAAGCATGAAGGCAGCAGTCGTGGTTCCACAGGCTTCTCAAGCGCGGTGGCTCTTCTACAAAACTTTTAGTGTTCCTTGCGAATATTTCGCGGTACTCTATGTGACAATATCGATTAGCAGTAGGGGAGATTGCGCTCCAGTGAAAGTAGGCGTAATGTATCTTCAAGGCTGGCATGAGTAGCAATTGAGCCTCTCTTAGTCGCCGACCGACAAGGGTTCCAAACCATAGCATTGACGTAAACTTACCTGCAGCTTCCTGTTGCGAATGCGTGAATGCACTGTGTGAGACTTATTATCTTTAAATAGTGGTCCCCACATAGCTACGCAGTGTGGTCCCCACCAAGGTAAGCATTGTGGTCCCTAGGAGATTGAAGAGAGGAACGAAGGTTCTCCTAACAACAATACTGCCCTGTTCCGTACAGCAGTTTGTCACTGTGGGAGACTGTCGGGCCAACTTGAAGGGTGCATGAACCTCTGGTAGCTTCACCAGAAGGCAATCAGCTGCACCAAGACACCGGCCGCTTTCTCCCTCTTGACGAAACAGAGCCTAGTTTTTTATGATGATTCTTCTCTTGATTGTGTCACCAACTAATCTCTCCTGACACAATTCCCCCTCCGCACCGTCGTCCGTATCTCGCAATACACAGATGATCACAGCTCTGCGACCTTGTGTCGGATCACAGTATACAGTCACTTTTCAGATTAAAACACAACCAATACGACTACGTAGAAGTCAAATAAAGAATTGGATCACCATTAAGAAAATAAATCAGCCTCCGACTTCAACACACCATAACTAATAAACCTCGACAATCACAGCACGCGACTTGCACTTACATTTTGCTTCCCCTATACGTAAACGAAACATTTCACCAATGCAACAAATCTCCCTACTCAATCACGGCCCCTCCATCCCCCCTCCGCTAGTGCAACCAGACCACAACCAAGTGTGATCAAATTTTGCATTATTCAAACTTCTTGGATTTCAAAACAAATGATCGAGGTTGAGCAGGGGGGAGAGGAAGAAGAAGCGAAAGACGAAAGAAAGAGAGACCCGAAAGCACTCAAATACAGACACAATTCTACACACACACACACACACACATATATATATATATATATATATATATATGGCATATATGTTACGTATATAAACACACACACACACACACACACACACAGAGAGAGAGAGAGAGAAGCACACACAACAGACGTTGTCGAGATTCTTCGACAAGCTGGTGGCGGTTGAGCAGGAGCCACTAGCATTTGAATGGGAAATGCATGCGGCCTGGAGAAAGGGGGGGTAGTGGCACGACGTGGAGATGGAGCCCGTATTGGCTCGCACGTCGAGGGACCTTGCAACTTACTGCAAAGAAGCAAACGAGCGACAAAAGAAGGCCCAGGCTATGGCGGGGGTGGGGACTGCTGCCCTGCCCCGCCCCCGCCCCTCTGCAGACGGAGACTACGACTCCCTGGACGACGACGCCGGGTCCAACGACGGAGACGGCCCGTGGATGAATAACTCCTCGTATCGATGAATGATCGTTGGATGGATGAACACTATATCTACCCCTGCCTGGTTCATTCGTCTGTTCCCCTTGCACTATGCCAGCTCCACCCGGCTGTCTGTTGTGTCCACCTCAGCTGCTAATATTAATTATTCCCTTCCATCTATGATTTGTTTGTTTATTTATTTATTTATTGTAATTAAGAAGACGAAGAGAGAGAAAAAAAGAAAAAAAGAAAAAAAGAAAAAAAAAAGGATATCAATTTCATGGTGATGTTATGGTTGTGTTTTTGTTTTGCATTGTTTATGGATGAGTTTGAAAGTCATTTGGTTTGGGGCCTAATGAACCAATACATTGTGCTAGGTGAAGTTTTCCATGGCACTGATGTAAACAGTTATAGACATTTGTGAAAATATGGTGTTGCTTGTGTAATGTCTCACACATAATCTATGTGTGCAAAATAATTTCTTAAGCATGGTTTTTTTAAAATAGTTCCTTGAGTCTGTATGGTAATATGGCTGGTATATTTCCTGGCAGAACGTTAATACTATTCACAAGCTTATTCATGGGTTGTAGCATAATCAAACTTTCATACAAAGCTTAGTATCGATCTTGAATACACCCTACAATGATTTTATTGTATTGGCCTATTTACATGTACTTTGCTTAAGTAAAATAAGAGACATCATTTTTAATGTAAAATAATAATAATAATAATAATAATATCAAAAACATCAGTTGACTTCAACTTTTTTGCAAAATATCAAAAAATATATTATTTTTGCACTTAGTTTATTCAGGTGTTTCCTATTTATACTGGAATCAAAATTTAATGACAATTACTCAATCAACAAGCCGTTCAATATGGACAATTTGTTTTTAGTAGTGAAGCTTTTTGAACTAAGAGGCGACTACATTGCAAGTGCTTGAAAAACAAACTTTGTGAAAAGTATCATGGTACAAATTTTGTCATACATAGGAATAGTCAACAGCTACATATGCATCCAAAATAGGTTTTAAATCTGGCTAACTTAAATCATACACACACTTGCACAATTTAAAAGCAATCAGATATATATATATATATATATATATATATATTATAGAAAGAAATACTTCTAGTCAAATAAATAATATTGCTTTGAAAAAAAGTCTGCAACAACTTGCAAATTTTCATGTTGATCTCTTTAAAACCAATATTGTCAAGTATTACGCTTCTCACAATGTTTGCAAAAACAAAATAGATTCTGTGAATGAAATAGTCATTAACATACCTCATGACACATCATATATTACAATCACAACATTTTTATTTTTATTTTTTCACTTTTGTGTTTATTTATTTTGCACTCACATAAATAAATAAATAAATAAATAAATAAATAACACATTTTGCTTTTACAGGCAACTTAAACTGATTTTTTGTAGATAAGCACAAACCTCATGCTCTAACAAATAAAATACATAGGTCAAACCCATTCTTCCATTATTGGAATATTCCATTTCCTTACATCTATGTCGATGAACTCACCAACCAAATTCTCTAATAGGCGCTGTTTTGTGACCAGCCGCATGATGAGATTACAAATGACAGCATAAGTTAAAGATGTACGAATGAATGTATTGTAGGAACAGAAAGTTAAAACGAATCATTTAAAATAAAATAAAATAGAGAAAAAATAATAAAATAATACAAAACTGATTGTTTGGAAATCAGTTGCCATGTGAGCAAGTGGACTCCTCAGATCTAGTGGTCAACTACCCTGCTGACCTCATCCTCCACCTGACGTCATGTGAACAGCATCACCACCAACACCCGTGTAATCCTAAAACATGAACGCACGTTGAAGGATGGATGAGTTATACCCCACATAATGGATGAATAACAGGGTCGATAGGGGTTTGCGAGGCACCTCTGGAGGTAAAGAGAAAACAACAACAATAATAAGAATAATAAGAATCCACCGGTGGTGAGAATCTGACACCCTCACGACATTCTGCTTTGCAACGGGGTTTCACATAACTTTCCTCCCCCCTGTGCTTCCTACCCACCAGTGAGTGTGTGGCCCCTTTCATTATGCTCCTACAACTGGTGTACGATCTGGACACCGAACCTGGTCAGTTAATTAATTAAATTACGATGAAAAAACTACCGAGATGAACGTGAAAGAGAGTTCACCATTCGGTCATTGTGGTTCAAATCCCGCTAGTTGAATTGGTGCATAGGGATGGAACACAGTTTCTTCACCACCATGCCCTGAATCGCTGAAGCGAAACAGCATTATAGCCCAAGAATAGCAACCCCACTTGCCAACTAGACTAAATGAACAATGCCAGCTGGAGAAACCCCATATCAGAATCTAGTCAGCCTGACTCCCATAGAACAATTCACCGTCTCCCTCTCCTTCCATGAATTCCTTCTCAAGCAGCTTTAAAAGGGGGCTTTGGATGAATAGAAGAGTGTATAGATGGACGGACCGTACATCCCGGCCCGGCCCGTCCAGTCCCACCCCCCTATGGAATGAACCCCCCTTGCTCCGCCTGCGACTGGTACGTGTAACAGTTGACGGACCAGATGCAAACCCCCGAGGTACTGATCCACGGCCAAAATTCAAATTGCTCACACGCATGAATAAGCTGGGTCCCACATGGAGATCCGCAGCGATGGTAAGATGGATGGAGGTGGACGGCGCAGATCGGGAGGGAGAGCCCAGGTTCAATGTCGCCCCCCCCCCCACATTTTGGACGGAATTAGGCGGTGGTTAGTTCTCGGGGTGCATGCATGGGTGGGTGGGTGTGACCCGTCGTTTCCACGGTCATAGGAGGGGGTCAAGACTAGGAGAGTGTGGATCTCCTGAGTAAGAAGGGAAGGGAAGGGAAGAAAGGACCTGTTTTCTGCAATTCCAGTGCCATTGTCGCGATCCCCCTTCCCGAGATGGAGGGATTCTGTGGGGGCTGAGGAGTTCAACTGTCGGTGCTTCATACATTGAACTTTGGTTATGGATTTTAGGGCTTTCTGCTCAGAAAACACTTTGAGTTATTTAAAAAAAGGAGTTTTTGTGATCCGACACGGTTCATGAACATTTTCCCAGACTGAAATAGTCTCTGAGCATTTCCTTTGTAACCTGAAGCGTTTAAATGCGAAACCGTTTGCCAGAGTTGTACACAGTTGCGTCAGGCTGTAATGAGCATGGCAATGAACAACCCCCCATGGGAATAAGGTTTGCCACTGCGCAGTAAAATCATGTTCTGCAGCACTCTGCTCGGGCAACATGTAGTTTTGTTTTTTTTTTTTAACGGCTTCTGTTGTGTTCCTCTCTCATTGTTATTTTGTCCTGTTCACTTACTATTCAAGTTGAATATTGTGAACACAGCAATCTTGCAAACCTCATCTGTGAATGTATTGTGGTGATAACGATAAATATTATTCCACAACAGAAAATAGTAAGGAGATGCAATGTAACCTCAAACAAAATGATGGATTCATTTTGTTTAGTGGTGGAATTCAATATTTATAAAAATAGCTCTGGTTAGTTATCCCCAACTTTCATCGCCCATTCCAGGCTGTGCAAGAAGGTAAGGTGTGAAACGTTAAGAATTGTCTGCAAAAAAACACATGTACGTATAAAAAGAATAAAGTCCAACGCCACTTTGCCCAGGCAAGTTCTCTATTTCTTCCGGATAGAAACTTCCAGGCTCAACCCTCGGATACTTAGCACGGTCAGACACAATGGATGATAATTCAGCGTTACAACTGTACTTTGGTGTCTTAGTGATGGTTTAAGCGAATTGGGAGATGACGAATAATGAAATACAGCAACAATAGCACCAGACGAACGGTGCGACATATTGGGTACGTTGCTCTTGCCATTTTACTCCGTTTCCGAAGTTCTACAATGTTGATCCTAAATTCTATGAAGATTAAGAATTATGTCTCCTATCAACTGAAATAGTTGATTGCAGATTACACTTTCATACAAATATACCACAGCCAGATTACATCTACCAAGAGATAAAAGCATGTCAACAGATCTATCTAATGAACTATATATTATTCGAATCTGGGGATCAAAATCTTGCAATTTATTCTCTTCAAGGGGTCACATTAAGACTTTTTCACTACAGCAACCGGAAAGCAGGGATGCTGAGAAAACTCGAAGGAAACTCGAAGGTTATCTCCGGGACCAACTTGATGCACTATCTGCAGAGCTACACGGTTTCTTAGAGAAACTTGTTCCATTTGCTTGACCTCAAGCGCCAACTGCGTACGACTCACTGCAGAAAGCTCAGAGGCTTTGGCTGCTGATGCGCCGAGTTCTTGCAAATGCTGTTGGACAGCCATAAAATGGTCATACGACAGTTGGTAAAGCTCCTTGACCTGTCACAGGAACAAACCCAAAAATGAAACAACGGATGCAATCCACTAATAACCTCAAAACTAAGAGGTCTGCTGTTGTTAGATTTACTTTTAAATTTGAAATATAATTACCACCCACATATTTTCAAAGGCATAATCTTCTACTTGGTCAAGTCAATATTTATCAAGAAAAAAAAAATCAAAATAGCAGAAGATGCCACCCTTGAGACATAGATGACACAAATTTGACGCCCATCATAATTTCGTCACTGAACCCTTTACAGTTGCGTCGTACCGAAATGTGCATCTGGCTGGTGCTGTCTTTGTAGTGAAAATAAGACATAGGCGCTGGAATCATCAATTTATGCAGCAAATCGAATCTCTGGAAGAACCTCTGATGTCCAAAACCATCACACTAATCAGTTCTTAACCTTGTCTTCCGAAAAAAATCTGGAAGGCACAAAATTCTTAACACGTGGCAACTAGGTCTCAGGATTCCACGTTAGATGAGGGAGCATTGCCCCAAATCAATGTTCCCAATTCGTAGCGGCAACATGTGAGTATCTCCTAAATACAAACATGGTCACTTTCATAGAAGCATTACCTCTTGCTCAGTGTTAAATATCGTTTCCCGGTGAAGGAGCTTGCGATCTCGCGTTAATGCTGTCAACATCTGATAAACCAAGAATAAAGTACTGTTAGAATAAAACGGGAAATGTGAAGAAGAAGGGTTGCAACCAAGTTCTAGTGTATTTGAAAACTAAGAGGGGCGTGAATGAAACTCACTAGTAGATACTCTCATGCTGTAACTTAAGACGAAAACTAAAGGCAGCTGTTAGTGAGCACTGCCTCTGCTTTTCAACAAAACAAAAATTTAATAGAGCGAACATAGTAGAACATCAGGAAGAAAGAAAAATAAAATAAAATACATGAATATGAATACGGTACAAACCCAGATAAATCCTTTACAAAGGTCGCTGTAGCACTGCAGTAGGTGGACTGAATACATAAATTTGCCATCCTTCGGTGTTTTAGGCTGCTTCAAAGCTGCAGATCCCTTCTTCTTCTTTCCCTTCTTTTTGACTGATGATGAAAAATTCAACAGAGCAAGTGATGCCTTCCGTGTAAGCCTATGGAAGCAACCCCAACCGTCATCGCTCCCTCCCTGCTAGTCCTGTCTGAGCTAATCTGAATTTCTCTGCATCCCTTCTTTCTTCGACCTTGTTCTATTATCTCACTGCTACTCAACTTAGACCAATTTTTCCTACAAACACACTAGAACAAATGATCCTCACCAAATTCAAACTTATATCGATACAAAGAGAGTCCAAAGCGACTGAGCATCATTTCCTACTTCGGAAAAGCCTTGTAATTGCACATATAGACGACTCTACACTTTTGGACGGTCACGGAAAAAGCACCAATACACAGGGAGGGGAGAGACAAAAACCTGAATCAGGAGAATCTATCGCGGGCGTCGTTTGACTCTCCTTAGCAAGCTTGTAATGTAAAGCCGACAGCAACACGTGATCCAAGTACCTGGTACCATCCAGGTATTCAATTTTTAGCTAGCTATTATACATTCGACAGGAATTCAAAATCAGAAAACTTGGCACTTCAGTTGCCAGTTTGAGCGGATAATTACATTTATGACCAATGTCAAGACTTAACGCACCAGTACACCATGCAAAACTCGCTTAGTGAGTAAAGATCCAACTGAAATCCCAACATCAGGAATTGACGTACAACCCAGCATGTCTGCTCTGCTACCCAGGCTGTCAACATGTTCTCTGTTTGAATAACCTGCACCCAGTAAATACCTCATAAGGAATGTTATCAACTCCCGAGAATATCCTACAACATAAACAATATTCAGTGAAACTATTCCAACTCATTGTCCAGCACTAAGAAAAATACAAGAACGCAGGAAACTAATAAACGTGCTCGATCAAAAATATGCTCTGCTTCACAAAATTACATAGCTGGGACTGTTCTTTCCAGTATTGATACTCATAAGACCTACCTCGGCAGCCGGTATCACAAAATACTCATAAAAAGATTCCAGCAAAACACACAAATTTATCAGATCTTTCGTGAAAAAGACTGAATGCTACACAAACATATAGATCACGTGCACAAAGATAATTACCTCATCCCCCAATTGACTGCCTTCAATGGAAACATCTCGAGTCACCTTGGACTGTTATGCAGGTAGCAAGGATAACATCAGACTTACTGCAGTTAAAATACTGAAGGCAACAGAGCCTATCCAATCAATCTTACACTAACTATCTGATGTCAGCTAAACAATAACCAATTTTCAAAAAGAAATCTATAGCCTGAATGGTATTCAATTACATAATGAAACAGGGAAGGTTCATAAGGAAGAATTCCGTACCTGCTGGAGCAAGTTACCCCAGTCCTGCAATATTCTGCCAAGCTTGCGCCGTTGCCAAGCTGTATTGGTGCACATAATTTTCAGTAATTGTTTTGTGACCTGTGGAAAGTACAGCACGATCCCACATACGTCTGATAAGCATTCCTTCTCACAGTTAGAATAGTTTGATTGTCGCTCCTACCGACAGACAAACACCGCAGTTTTAACAGATCACGAAATTCCTCTTCCCAACCATCTCATTAATTTCAGTGAATTGCTTAAAGAAATTCAAGTAAAGATTCAGACATGCTTGATTGCAAGATAGACAATCAGTCATTACTACTTCCTCAAACATTCTAAATTATGTTGACGGGATTAGGGACAAAATCCTGAACAAAGTTACAAATCATAAGAATTGTCAGATCATACAACTTTGAAAGACTTACTCGGGCAGCCTGGGTAGTGAACGCCTGAGTTTGGTGATCGTTTGCCATCACACTTTGAGGCACATTGAAAACTTTGACCAACGCAATCGCCAATGGATCCCTCCCTAGTAACTTTCCGTCATGTAGTAGAAGCAGCTGAAGCAAATTCAACACTATCATGATGAATCCTCTACATAGTCATTTGACGAGCTATTAGGGAGATGGAGAATGGCAGCCACAGCTAGCTTATACAATAAAATAAAATAAAAATAAAAAAATAAAAAAATAAAAAAGGCTCATTCAATGACGCGACTCTGAGCTCCATGAAGAAAATGAAATTTCACATTTACAACTGCAACAGCTATGAGGCGCTTTCCAAGTAGACATATTTTTAAATATACAAAAAGTTTGTTCATTTACTCGTCCACAGGGGTTCTCAACTGGATCTGCCTAGACCTATTGGTATAAATTAAGAACAGAAAACCACTCAACAGAAACAAGTCCGCAGGGAGGTAAGGACATATTTCTAGATGAAGCCAAGTACTTAAGACTGAGATACTGCGATATGAACCAAACTCAAGGACCGATGACATACACAGTAGTAGGAGCGAGATGCATCGTATCGGAGTACCTGTAACCTAGCCCGTGCGAAAAGATCAGGTTTTAATTTCTGGTAATCCATCACAAACTGCAGAATCTCCTCTAATCCAAGCGTCATAGGTAGGGAGCAGATACGGTCCAGGTCTTGTAATAGCTTCTCAAAGTAAGCTAAAGTCTGTGACAAAACACAAAGTAAGTACTAGTAAATCTTTCTAAACCGGGTGTATGTCAGAGTCTTTAAGATGAACAGCACTTATTTCTTCAAATTCAAGGGAGGTACGAACTGCTTACATCTTCCCAGCTGAGAATACTGATTGACCGAGGGGGAGTGGGAGCTAATAGCCTTCGATTCACACACTCATCAAACCCTATAGCAACTCTTCCGGAAGCAGTTGAACCTCGTTCCTTACTTTCAACTACAGAGTCAGGGGCCTGCCCAAAAGATAGGAATGCCGACGAAGAACGTATATTTTGCAGCTCAGACAAAGCAACTAAGATGTGCTTACGAGCCATTTCTAATCCTCTTCCTTGAGGTTTGTCCATGTAGGTCAAAATATGGTACAGTGCCTGTTACAATCAGGATCTACCGTTTTAGGAAGAACTACAATGGTAAGGAAAATAAGTTGGTCCACAAATGATTAATTTTAAGAACTTGGATATAGTATTACAACCTTACGAAACCGCAGTCGGCATAAAATAGCGTGGCAGTAACCCTCTTCAAGAGCAGGATCATCTTGCAACGGTTCGGCATCTGAATATCATGGCTCTCAAGCAAGTTAACGATATATCGATTGCGAGCCCAAAACAGCCGCGACTTTTGTAAGGTGATGCGACAAAAATAGGACCTCCCTGTTCCTAGATAATGCTACCAGCAGAACAAATATGTAACATCACCCGAGTCCCGAATATTCAACTCTTACATGTCATTCTGAGAAGAGAAAGATCAACTGAAAAAAATTACACTAATCATGTCAGATCTACCTCACGTAAGAGATACTCAAACAGCAGCTGAATCATGTGTATGTCTTGAGTAAACTCCATTCCGCTTCATACATATATACCTTATACTGAACAAGCAACATGCAGAAATTGTAGTTCTAAGCCCAGTAACCAGGACACCTACCTTCAAGACTCTTCTTTTTCGTAGAAAGGCCACCTTTGCATCCCCGCAGCTGCCTAGCAACAACTTCTTCTACTGTGTTCAAAAGTGCCAAGCACCTAGAGTCACCCTCTCCTTCAACGGGTAAACCGTATGCCATTGTTATAAAATCTTCTTCCTGCTGATTCCAGACGAAAACGCCAAGAAAACCTCAGACCTTGCAACTTCTTCCCGGACAGAACAGAGCCGAGACATTTACACCAAAGGAAGTGGGTTTCAGATTGTGAATCCTGGGACAAAAAAAAAAAAAAAAAAAAAAAAAAACTCGTAGAACCCCTCTGTCGGACATGATGTTGTAAATTCCTAAGGATGCTTTGTAAATGGACGATGTAGAAAAACCTAGGGTTTTGGGCAACAACCAAATGAATTTACAGCAAGACCAATTTGTACCTCGTGGATATCCGCCAGTGCAATAGCTGTTCGTATCATGCTACAAGAGGCTCGAGTAGTTTTGCAAAACGCATGAAGCAAGGCATTCGGAGCTGTTCGATCCACATTCAAGAGGTAAAGGCAAGAAAATACAGTCTGCGCAAGGGCATGACCGTTTTGCCACGTAGCCTGTAACATCACGACCCCTAGTTAACTTGAATTAAACTTAAATCTCTGACTTACAAACAACTGCTATAACTACGTACTTTGGTAAACTAATGGGAATGAGGTAATTTTAATTTGAAAAACCTTAGCAAGCTCATTTTTCAACAGCTACAAGACATAAGAGCTGGAAAAACCCAAAGAAAATTCACGGTTATATAATCAAAATTCAAGCTTGTTACATATGTGTAGCGGCATACCGCACAATACTGAAATATTTTATATGCCAAAAGCATGGCATGTGCAGTATTCTCAACGAAGACATCCCTCCGTGAAGTATCCAAGATTCCATATTTAACTCTTAAAAGTATGAACTTTGATACCTGGAGATCAGACATACCTCACATGCGAGAATATGGTCGAAAACATCCACTAATTGCGGGATGGTCAGCTCAATTGGAGCTGCGCCGCTTTCTATGGCCTCTTCAAAGGTTTTGAACCCTGTGGTGGCCATGCCTGCGTCCATTTTCGGGTCCATAATCTTGTCCAAACAACAAAATTCTATCAGCGCAAAGGAAAGCAAGTTTTCTTAATCCTCATGCCCACTACTTGTCAAAACAGATTCTTGAGGCAGGAAAGGAACGACTGAAACTCAAAATGCACTTTTCCGGTGCAACAAATATCACTGTGAAGTTATCGGGCAAAAATTCGTGCAGTAAGAGAGTTATACCTCCAATGCTGACATAGCCTCAAACAATCTGAAGTTTTCGCCATGGACCAGCTCTCCAACACTCAGCTCTGCAATACGAGTGAAGTATAATTATTGATGGTTTGGCGTGACCAAGTAAGCTCATTTGATCGCAACATGCCTTCATCAGTCCACAAATGGAAGAACCATTCAACACTGAGGGAAGCATGAGCTATACTAACGCAGATTGCTCATATTGCTCACCATCACCCTCAAGAGGTAATTAGAGGTTCTAGAGAGAGTGTGTGTAATAGCAGGAGAAAAAGCATGCACCTGACGTCCAGTGGACATCAGATACACGGACAATAAGTATTCAACCCAACTCAAATCGTTCAAATTAAAGCGCAAAGCACGATGTAGTTGTCCAGTGCAATCAGGGCCAACAGCAACCCGGACACAGAGCATCACTTCTCAAAATCCACAGTGTTGGTAGGAAGAAAGGGCGAAATTCTGAGACGACTAACAATCCTCCTCGCTGCCGCCGGCGAGAACCGAGAATACGACCGAGAAGAAGCAATCAGAACATGGAACAGTCGGGCGAGGGCACGGGGAAACAGGGCAGTAGGGTACCATTGCAGACAGAGGAGAGGAAGGACGAGGCGTCGAGCCAGATGGTCTGGTCACCCGCGGGGACAGCAGCATCCATGGTAGCGGAGATGGTGGCCCACTACCAGGGCATGTCCCAGGTTGAAGGAAAGAGGAGGAAGAGGAAGAAACAGCAGCTCTAGAATAGACCGAGGAAGGGAGAGAGAGGGAGGGAGCTTGAGGCCAAGCGCGGTAAGAGCAAGAGCAGCAACAGCAGCAGCAACAGGAGCAACAGCACGAAACCCTAGAAAGGGAGCGAGGAATAAGCTTCAACACATTTTCCCCGTTCCCCACGTAATTACCGTTCCCTTCTTTCCCCGTTCCCCACATGCTTACTGTTCCTCATCCTCCATCTTCATCCACGACGACCGTCCACGTTTTTCATCTCCATCTTTCATCCTCGACGCTCGTTCACCCTTTTCATCCTCGGTTTTCATTCTCTTTCGTCATCCTCGTTTCTCATCCCCTTTTCTCATCCAAATGGCATTAGTATCTCGCCCGAACCCTGCTGAACAAAACGGCTTCATTTTCATATGTATCTCAAAAAAATTGAGTTTAATTTGAGTTCAATCCATTGGTATTTATTTTGAAATTTTAAATTTTTTTATTTATCCTGAATTTTTATTTTTTTGTAGAAAATTTAATTTTAAATGAGTTTCAGAAGCTAAATTAAAGATTTATTACAAAATAATCACAAGTTTCACATGTTACTTAAATTACTTATAAAGAAAAAAAATATATTCAAGCAATTACCCTAATTAATAGTTTGCTATGAATATTGAATTTTATGCAATAAATTTATATTTACTTAGATACATAAGTTGAAAATTGAATATCATCTTTTTCAATTCTTTTAGACAAACATTTACCAAAAATGATTATAATACTTTTGACATTATAATTTTACAATCAAATTTTTAAAATTCAAATAAATTTTTATATGTCTTATATATATATATATATATAGGGAGTTGCTAAAGAAGCACCTCTGTATTATTAAAGCCACACCTCACGTAGATACACTCCTACTTTCTAATTGTGTTTACTCCAGCTCTCCCTTGTTGTTTTTTTATTTGTGTATACACATGCTCTCTCATTTTACTTTTTACTTGTGCATAATCTTCTCTAAAGCATTCCAAAAGGAATTGTTAAGTGCAATCCCAAAAGGAATCATGATGCGAGCAACTACAACAGCTTTTGGGGTGTGGCTTTAATAATATGGAGGTGTGGTTTCAATAATTCCTTGTATATATAAGATGTTGCTAATACCACCACAACTTGTCACCCACTCAAAACAATTTTTTAGTTTTTATATTTCCATCAAAAAAATCTTAATATTTCTAATGTACATATATATATATATATATATATATATATATTGATACATATATCTATATATATATGTGTGTGTGTGTGTGTTTTTATTTATATTCAAATAATATAGAATAAATAATTTAAAAGTTATAAAAACTTTAAAAATGTATCAAATGGATGGCAAGTTGTAGTGGCAATAGCAAATTGTGGTATATATATATATATATATATATATATAAGATTAAAATATAATCAAACAAGAAACAGAAATAATATCTTAATAATGTTTTAAAGAGTTTTAAAATATATCTAGTCATTTTAAAATGTCAATTTGATATAAAACACATGGCACATAAATTCAAACATGTCCATATAATGATTTAAATTAAATACTTTATAATAATTCAAATGATTAACAATAAAATTTGGTATTCTAAAAATATCAAATTTGGTACATTTTTCAAATATATGTGGATCTTTCTAGTTTTGTAATCAACTTATTGGTAATTCAAAACAACCCAAATCATCTTGTAAAATTACATGTATTTGAATATGTATTTATATACAAAAATAACAGAGGAAAATTGCTATTTATTGTGTTGTCTAATTTCTTGAAACCCATTATATATAATTTTGCACATCAATTTAATAGGTTTTGATAAGAAGAACAAATTCATATTTATACTTAGTGGTTCACATTCATTTACATATGTTCATAAATGCATGTGAACAAATGAATGAATGAGGTAATCTTCTGAAAATTCCAAATTAAAAATTTGACTATTCTCATCTACAACATGATACAAGGATTATATACACAGTGTTATTTGGTTTAAAATAGTTGGTCTATAATCTAAGATTTTGATTAATTTGAACTTGTCACAATTAAGTTCAATGATTCCTTGAATGTCAGTTTCAAGTAAAAAAATAATTACATGAAAAATATTAGATTTTACCCTTTTTTACGAAAAAATCATATTTTCAATTGTGATCAATATTTGTAATCTTCATATTAGAACTTTGTTTTCATGCATTTCATCTTGAAAAACAACTTCTACATGATAGAAAAAACCACTATTACTTCTTTTTTTTGCAGCATATGAGTAATATATATATATATATATATATATATATATATATATATATATGAAATGTTAGTTTTTTTTAGAAATTGTATGGTTTTTGGAGAAACATATTATCGTAAGATATTTACATTGATCTGCACGTAGAAGTGAACATAAACAAAGAAAAAAGAAAAAAGAAAAACTCTAGAAAATGTAGACAATTTAAGTAAATATTTCATGTGCAATCTTATTTATTTACTTTTGAACAAAGTTTCTAAACTTTGATTTTCATAAAATTACATTGCATTACATACACACATATACACATACATGTTTGTATGAATGAATATGAAAAATTTAAAAGTTATGGGCATTAAAATCACCTAGAATTTCGTTTTCAAAAATTAAATTAAATCACACATTGGTACATTTACCAGTTTGTTTCTCCAGAAGTTAATATGCATTGATAGATTTTATTTATGATTTCGAAGACATTTGAGTGTAATTTTATTTATAATTGAGATTTTTGCATGGTATAATTTCTTCATTTGTGTATATATATATATATATATATATATATAGAGAGAGAGAGAGAGAGAGAGAGAGAGAGAGAGAATTTGTTTTTGAACAATATATGTGTTATTTGTTTTGTAAGCGGTAATAGGTACTTACTTCAAGAATAGTTATTTAATTTTAGGTCTGATTTTTCATGTCCAGTCACAAGTTTTCTTATTTTGAGTTTAATTTTTAATATTTCAGACAACAGATCTTTTTTCTTTAAAAATATAATTGAAAAGCTATTTTTGAAATTTTATCTCATTAATTGTCATAATTTTATTATGATTATTAGTATTATTATCATTATGACTTGTATACAAGTTTTGTATAAATAGAAAATAAATAAAAATGTAAAGTGAATGTTAAGTCTCTAAAGTTTTCTATGATTAGTCTAGAATCTTAAGGGGTCTTTATACTTAGAAGCTCATTTTGAAAGGCTATGGTTCAAAATCATGCTTGGTCCCTTGTTTAGTGAGAAAAAACTCTCTTTTAAAGCCTAGGCCTTTGAATATAGTATGCGATGAGAAGACTCCATAAAATCAACCAATTTATTCTTTTATTACAAGTCTAAATGTGTTACCTTATATCTTGACTTTAAAAATTATGAGAAGTTTAAAAATATGGTTTACAAATTTTAATGGTTTTTTTTTTTTTTAGCAATTTTAGTCACTCCTTACCAATTATTTTAAAAAACTACCTCTTGAGATTGGCCCAGCAAAAACTTTAGGAGACAACCTTGCTCATGCTATGAAGAAAAAAATTGCATTATATCTCATATTATTCTCTTATGGCCTTTGAATTCATTTTTCTAAGTATACAACTACCTAAGTGAGGCTTCTTAATTTTAACCAATCAAAGGATTTAAAATTGTGGCCTCTTACCTCGTCTCTTAAATGCAAAGACCTCCATTGTAATATTTTCCTTTCTATTAAGCATTAATAGAAAATGGTGTATTTTGTAATACAATCTTGAATTTTCTTTTTCTTTTTTCAAATATGTTTATCAAGTTTTAATGCATGTCATTGTAAATACTTTATAAGTTTTAATATTGATTTATTATTGTTTAATTAGTTTTATATTAAAAAGATAAGTGAGTAAGAATATGAATATTTATCATGAATATTGTGACATAAATTTAATCTAATGTTAAGATGTATTTATGCCTAAAAGTCCACTTTGAAAGGCAATGGTTCAAAAACCTCTTATAAGTCCTTTACTTGGTGTAGAAAAGCTTTTCTTTGAAAGATTTGTCCCTTGGAGATAGTTTAAAGGAAGAAAAGGCTATAACTTATGTCAAGTTACTATTTTGTTATAATTCAAAATATGGTACTTTATACCTTAATTTTAATAGTCATAACAATTTTTTTTAAAAATTATATTCAAAAAAATTAAATAGTTATTTTTAGCATTATTTTTTTATAACTTATCAAATTGTTGAAAATTTTAGGTCTTAGGGTGGATCACATTCAAACTATAAGGAGCAATAATATTCATGTGGGAAAAAAAATTACATTCTACCTCATATTTTACTTTTATGATTTTTTGCTAATTTTTTAAGTATACATCTAACCAAGAAATTGTTCATGATTACAATTAACTACTAGCTTTAAAAGTTACAACTTCTTGTATTCTTTCCTCAGCATAAAGACCTTTTCATTATAATATAATTTATAAAAACATTGTATTTAGAATTAATTATTATTACTTTTTTGTAACAAAAAGATATTAAGTTCATACTAGAATAATAACAAAAAGATATGTAACACCAACCTAGAATTAATATTAGTGATTAAAAGGAATATTTTAATTAATTATAATATTTTAGAAGTACTAGAAAAATAAAAATAAAAATAAAAATATTATAAACTGATTGTGATACTTACATTGCATCAATAAGATAAAGACTTTGAATCCAATAAACAAAATTTAATTTAAATTTAAACTCATAAAACAAAAATACTATTAATTTTCTTATATATATATATATATATATATATATTTTTAGAAAATTGGTGTCTTTTTTTTACTTTATACTATCTCCAAATGTCAACTTTGCTTCACCTAATAGAAGACCTTTATAAGACTTTTAAACTGTAGCCTTTGAAAGTTGACTTGAAAGTCTAAAGTCTCCCTAAATTTGCAATAGATAGTTTGTATTTCTAATAAATGTGAGTATGATTACACTTAATTATATGGATTTCATATATTTAATTTTGAATATAAATAATCTAAAACTTGTAGAAATCCCACCCCTAACATGTGCAACTTTCCTGGCTTGGTTGGTGTAGTTTCAATATACATGAAGAATAACACCAAGCAATTTCTGCATTCAATGCTGATCGACCCCCACATTCAGTTGCCAAAATGAGTCTTGCCACACCGAGAACCAAATTCCGTAATGTGAATAATAGGCGCAACATAGCAAAACAGATTACCTGCGGGCATTTGTGAATAAATATGGATCATGAATCCAAGTGGGATTTTGTGGTGACACTCTCTTCCAGAATCTATCAACAATTTGTGAGGTTGAGGCAGCATGTCCCATCAAATAATCAGACAAGATGGTGTAAAAACGATACATAATGGACATCATCGAAGTCCAATAACCACTATTTAATAGAACCAAGTGTCAAACAATTTGAGAATCAAGATGATTCAATTAGCATTAATATGGGAATCAGACCACATTATGGACTGAAGGGAATTTTATAAGATGTTCATAAAAGAGATCGAGGTTTTCAAAAAATACATTTATCTCCAACTGGTAATTAATGCTGCAATGGATCGGGCCTTCCATCAGTTAGCAACTTAACATGAATTTCTATCGAGGAAAACACATTAAGAGCGAGAGGCAGGGAGCCAAACTTGTTCAACAGCAGATTCTACATGTGAGTCTACTGATAATTCATACGTCGTATACAAATGCATCCAAACCATCAATTATCCCTGCTTGCCATTTTTCTTCTTCATCCAAACTTTCAGTATTGGGATCCTGCCAAGTAATCGCAACGTAAGGACCACTGAATAGTATCTGAAAGTGCAAAAAAACAGATTCGCTTTTGTTTCCATTCACATTCATTTCAGTGATCATCTTGAAACACAATGAAGATACGCAGGTATAGATTGTTAGACAAGGAGTAAATTGTTAACATCACAATAGAATCAGTACACTTGTTCCGGACCTTTAGCAGCTTCGGAGTAGCCATTTTCCTGAGCCTGGACCAATCAAATCCTTTAAAGAACGGATGGTTCTTGATGTCATCATAGCCTTGAACTCCCAGTCTCTCATTAGGTTTCAAATTCTGCAGTTGTTAAAAGCCACTTCCATTAGCGGACAGCTAATCGTATAAACTTAGTACAAGAAAACCTGAAAACTAAAATAGTAAACAAAATACATCTTGGAATTCAAATTCTACCTCCTTTCATAGAAACAAACAGCGACGTATAAAAATGGACCGAAATGAATAGTAGAACAGAATATTTACCAGCAGACTGTCTACCAGGTCTTTGGCTTCGGGACTAAAATGCGATGGAATGGAAAGCTCTCGTGCCATCACTTTCTGAAAGGTCAAATATTCTGTCGCAGCTTTGAACGGGGGTCTGCCTTCTAACATTTGGTATATAGTGCAACCCAATGCCCACAAGTCGACACTGATGCAAAACAAGAATATAGCACAATAAGAAGATGCAGAATCCGCAACTTGAAAGGCAAACTGCACATGAAATTGCTAACAATATCTTAAATGTAACTCATGTAAAGAAAACATATTCAAGCAAATCTTCGCAGGACAGAATTTTGTAACATACGAATGGCTAGCTGATTTGCCGTGAAGAACTTCTGGTGACACATATTCTGCTGTGCCAACGAAGGCGGAAGAATCTTCTTCTGTCACAGGTAATTAGGGCTTTTTATCACAAGAACTCATCTGCAATGAACCTTTCAGCATGGAGAAGCTTCGTACTACTCGTAATAGAATCCAAAAACAAGCTTCGGATAATCAGCACCTTCAGATTGGAAAAATCCATTTGGTAATGGTCGGAACATCTTTGCACTGCCGAAGTCGCACAGTTTAAGGTTTCCCTCTGCTGATATGAGTATGTTCTCTGGCTGCCACATTTGCAGAACATCAGTGCAATCGTAAATTGGAGGTCAAGGGGCTCACTGGAGATCTCGACAACTTACATGGTTTGAAGTGATGATGCATACGTACAAACAGATTGTGATAACAGGTAATACAATCAAAGCGACTCGTGAAATCCCAACTAAGAAGAAATTTATGCAGATACAAGATGCTGGGAAAAAAATCGCACAATTAGCAAACAAGACTATGCACCGAGTACCAATGCAGCTTTTCATGGTCCGAATAGCACTTAATACTCATATGTATACAAAAAAGGCAAAAGGGGTTACCTTAAGATCACGGTGGACAATGCCTTGGGAATGAATGTACTCCAGAATATCAACAATCTCCGCTGTATAGAATCGAGTATCTTCTTCGGACATCCGTTTACTCTGTACATTAAAAATAAATAAATAAAAAATGGATAATTATATTGAGTTGCCATTGACATTAACAATCCCCTTTATGTAGTGTATTCACATCCTGGCAAGAACAAGATCTACTTTAGGATAATGATTTAAGCGAAGCAATTCCGGACGAGCCGTTGGGAAGATCTGATAGTGGCTGCTTAGGACAGAATCTTGATATGATACAAACCAAATTGAGAAAGAAGCGCAAGTACTCTTGCTGGATATGATTACGTACCCTTCTTATCTGCTCGAAAAGTTCTCCACCAGTGCAACATTCAAGCCCCATGTCTAGCATGTCCATCAATCAGACTGATTAGTAGCAAGCTCATAATTGACAGGTTGGACATATGGGCTAAAACAAATGTCTGTCTTCTTCAGTACTGGAAGTGCCTAACAGGCACTCAGCTAAGATCACTTGCACGGACAATAATCCACAGCGGTGCAGACGATCAGACACAGAACAATTTGCGAGAATGATCATTACACAAAGAGTGGACATCCTGGAATGTAAAGCATAGCTTCACTACGCCCGGATGGTCGAGCTGGTCGAGTATCATGCGCTCCATTTTCACAAACTTAACCTTATTCTCACGAATTATGTGCTTCTTGTTCATTATCTTCAACGCATATATTTCGCCCGTGTTCTTCCTCTTCGCTTTTGTCACCTGCTCATCGCCAGCTTTCACATGTTATGGCTTAAATTGATAATACCATGAGAACCGTTTTCAAGAAAGCACATCAAATCAACAGCCTTCTTAGAAGCACTTCAGAAAGACCCAAATTTCAAGTATCCAACAAGTACGAAAACCGCTCGGAAACAATCCAAAAAAATCCCCTAAAATTGCATAATGCCTGATTCAACATGGGGACGATGTACAAAAGAACACCCACCTTTTTCCAAGGTTCAACACATTTAAACAAAGCAACGTCATACAAAACGCACAATGTAGTATCTACTTTTACAATGACAAACAGCGATTAATCCCATGTCGGTCTGCCCAAGAAACGAGAAATCGTAGCTCACCTTTGAATAGGACCCCAGGCCGAGCAACTTGGCAAACAAGAAATCGTTGGAAGTAAAATCCATCTGCGGTGCACGCATGACGAGTTGTTTGGGGTCGAGAGGTTTGGACTGATTCGGCTCAGGCGACACGGGGGAGGTCCCATCCATGGCCATTCCTGTAATGTTGGTGCCGAGAATCCTCTGCCAAGGTCCTCTGCTTCCCCGTCACAGCCGCCCACCAACCTCACGACCCACAAGCACCCAATCCTAGAGCCATGGCACTGAATCACCCGCACAACATTCCCTCGGCACCATTCACATCACAACACAGACAGGGCCGAATCGCGAAGAACGCAGCGATTCAACTGCAGCTGCGTGCTGCAAAGCTGACGAAAATCACGAGCCTCCAGCAGGACAAGGGGGGAGCAACCCTGACAATCCAGGGCTGTGCGGAGGAATCCGCGATTCTATCATCGTCTGGGCGATGATGCTGCTCGACGGGCGCCAATCGAGGTCGTTTTCGCCGGCATTTGCTCTCTCGCTCTCGCTTGGGTCCCCAGGATTTCCCTGCAATACCTAATTTACTTTATTTTAAGGTAAATTAGGAATGGATGAAATTCATTTATGTAGTTGTCAAAAAACATCCATCCTTGTCAATCATGACATACTTTGTTGAATTGTTTAGAATGTAGGATATTCTCAAGCAAGAAGTTTGTGATGCACTGCCAATACTCGTCCTTCTCCCACTCCATCACAAAGTAGGTGGATTTGACAATGCTTGTGGTAGGAAAAATGGAGGCCAGTCCACCACAAAAAATTTGAAGTCGTGGAAATCGGCCATTACAATAAGCCCATCCACCATGAAATTATGTTTGCAAATTAGAGCACTTATCAACAATGTCTTTGAAAATCATCTCCTTATAGTAGGCACGCATCATGGCTTGGTGGTCATTCTCAATAATCTCAATAGATTCAACATCCTATTCAATCAATTGCAATTCTAACTTATATCAACACATGGAAATGCACAACGGAGACATCCATAGTGTATATAAATCGTGGGACAACACTTATAAAATATCATCATTGTTGACATCTTTGTTGTAATTATGTTGAGCAACAATGGACACAATGATGTTGATGAGGCCAACAAATAAGGCCGCCATATTACAAACTATGACCTTGGCTTCAACTATAAGTAATGAAGCTATGAGGCTCATGACAAAGATGCCTTGATCTTGAATGAAAGCCTTTGCACTTCTGAGAGCAATACACCAAGATCTATAAATGACCAGATTTTAGGAGCCATAAGTCATAGCTGGAGTCTTTACATTATATAAATCTATCAAAGATTGAATTAAGTCATTGAGTTGGACTTTCTTTCAAAAAGGTACCTAGTCCTTGCAAATATGTCACAATAGTAGAGATTACTTACGCAACATCATTGAGTGTTAGAAATACCACCTACCAAAAAAGAGAGATATATGCGGGTAGCTTCTTTGCAAGGTACTTATAGATCATTATGTGCTCTTATTGCAAAAATCTACTCAATTTTTTTCATGGATGACCACTGCATATCCATGCATTTTGGACATGTAGAACCCATTCTTCCAATGAGATTGTACTATCAGTGTAGGTAAGAAATGAGGCCCATCAAGATGTTGGCAAATTGGTCCTCATACAACTTGACGTATTCAACTTGGACCACGAGATTAAGTTGGTGCAAAGCACACCAGACTAGTACAATCCTATTACTAGCCACCTTGACCATCCTCATCACGATACCAAAAATTTGCTGAGTCATTGTCTACTTGCCATCCATGCTAATTCCTACTAGTTGTGTCTTCTATTTTGGAACAACAATATCTCAAAAAATTGTATCTACAATGAAGATTACTTTGATTGTCTTGCAATCAAAAAGCAAAATAATAAGAAGATAGAGATTGTGTAACTTTGATTGATGCTCAAATCAAACTCAAAAGTCAAGGTAAGAAGTACCTTGATTTGAATTGACATTAAGAGTGAGCAAAAATATGTGCTACATATAAAAAAACTTGATGATTTTTTATAAGCTCATAATTCAAACCACCTTTGTGAATAAAGCCACATGGTTGTTATTACACCCATTGAAGTAGCTCATGTACAATATGGTCTTTGTGACATCCATGAGATATACTATCATTTGGAATAAGACTCCAAAAGAAACAAAGTTGATCATTAGACAAAATAGCCACAAAGAATTGATTTCCACCATATACACTTTGTAGTTCAAATCTTGCTTTCCATCGAGCTCAACTTGGTCATTGTTTGCTTCTTCAAATAACTTGAAAATTAACAATGCCTATTTAAAAGTTGTTATAGATTCCTCAACATCATCATTTGTACAAAAATGAATTGAAAATATTTTTACATTCATTGTTTGCTTTTGTTCTATGAGATTGACTTCTTTACAACTGAGCTTCTTACAAAACAAGCACCATGTTGATAGAACTTGGTTGAGGTTTACTTCTTGCAGGTTTGGCACAAGATCAAACTTTGTTTCCATAGAAGATTTCCAAAGAGTTTGCAATTCCTTTATTATAGTGAATTTGATATGTATACCTCAATGCAACTGTTGTAATTACAAATTGATATTCCTTCATAACGATTGCATCATGCAGCATCTCTCCAAATTGTATAGAGGAATATTGTAGGGGCCTTATTTTAGGACTTTTTGCTAAGCTTATTCTATGAAAAATAGGATTTTTCTTGAAAAAAGACTAATTTAAAGAGACTTACTAATGATCCAATCAAAAGTTTAATATAAATGAATTGAGAACATATAAATATAAACTATAAGATTTCTTTCTCTCTCTCTCTCTTCACAAAGCATCAAATTAAAGAATTTCTGAACTATAATCAATTAGTCAGTCTATTTGGCATCATTGCCACAATTTGGAAGACAACGCCTTTGCCACCAAAATAAAAAAAAAGGGTTTGGAGCTGTGCATGCATTGCATCATATTGCCATGTCACTACCAAATCTCAAAAATTGCCTTAATCTCTGTTTTTATTTTTTATTTTTTGTAAAAAAAATATTTTAAAGGATGCTGCCCTCAAAAAGATTTTGAAGAAATTAGAGATATCTTAAAAAGCCTCTTATTTCAGATAATACTTCAATCTTGTTATACTATTTGTTTTTTTATTATTCTTTTTTTTTTATTATTTTGGTTTGATTTTTGTTTTATGTTAGTTTGTTTGAAGATAAAATGTAGTGAACTAAAAGTATTGATAGAAAATGATGTGTTAGTGCACCAATGAGGATTGTGTATGTTAAACTTTTATTTGGAGGTAATTATTTTTGCCACACTATAAAAATTAAGAAATAAGAAATAATAATATATCTAATAAAAAAAAAAAACTTATGAAAATATCATTTTTAAGATGAATCTTTAAAAAAAACACTCAAAAATATCAATAATTAAATTAGGTTAGGGACCATTAGATTTCTAGTTATTTTAATCATCATAGTTTTTTTTGTCATATGTGTATAAATCTATCAATATATTGGACAAAATATGATATTAGATTCTACTATAAACTTATGGTTTCTTATTTTTAACTTTAAAACCAACCAGTATTTGATAAATATTAAAATTTCTACATATTTTTTATTTTACTATAAAAAGATTATATATCCACTTCTCATATCTAATATATTAATTCTATTATTTTTAAGACTTTTCAAAAAATACATTACTTTTTTTGTGTATAAGAAGTTTTTTAGTAATAGTATTGTCTAGAGTTTATATGGAATTTAGAAGAGATTTATTCAAACTAAGAAATTAATTAAAATTATATTAAAAAAAATTATGTACTATGATGTGAGATTTTGCTACTATTGCATAAGAAATAAGATAGTTATAATAAGTCAAATATTATCACATTTCTTCTAAATTCTATATAAATTCTAATCAATACTCTTCTTTAAAAAAATGCTTCTTATAAAAAATAAAAATAAAATCAATACTCTTATTTATTTAAATTAATTTTAAGAAATATATGTATACATATATATAAAGTGGATAAATTATCATTTTTATTATAATACTATTTAATAAAAAATAATATATTTATTAAAAATATCATAAAATCAAAAAAATATTTTAGTGTATGTATATATGTTTGTATATACTTAAATGGGATATTTGATTAATTTTTTTGTCACAATATGTTATTTTTTGATTAATTTTTATTTTCTTATAATATTACATTTCAAAAACTTATTCTATCAATTTATTATTTTTTAAAAATTATAATTTTGCTAGGTCTATAGTACTTAATGCAAAGATATAGAAATCCATTTTTTCAATTATAAAATAAATATGATTATCTTCTTAATAATCATTTTTTTAAACATAAATAATCTCTAATAATTAATCAAAAAATTTGAAACCAACTTTTTTCTTTGTCCAAAATAAAGTTAGCTTTTCATTTTAATCTTAATCTATTGTATTTTTTATAGTTTGTTTTTTAAAATAATAGTAAGTAGATCCTCATGAAAAAATTCTTCATATGTGGATTACTTTTCTTCTATTATGTTGAATATAATTTTAATAATCATAGGATTTGTAATTTAAAATTATTAATAGACATCCATCAAATTTCATTTAATTTCTTTTTATCTTAATTGATGGAAATTGATCTTTTATCTTAAATGAATCTTGTATATTGATTTTTTTTAATAATAACTTTTTAGATACTATTGTCATGGATATACATATTTACTCCAATAATTATCTATATGATTAAGTAGAAGTACATAAAAATAGATTAATTTTATAATATCTTCTAAAAAAGCTTCCTAGAAGCTTCTTAGATATTGTTTTGACTTTACACATGTTTGTAGTTAATTGATAGGCTGAAAACTTGATCAATAAGTTAGCCATGTATCACACGTATTAGTAACTTGTGGAACAAACTAACTATGTGGCCTACATATAGATAATTTGTGTTGGAAGTTAAGACATATATCTAGCAAAGTCAACTTATATTAGAGGACCTATAGTATATTCTCATGTAGCTCCTAGTTAGAAAATATATATAGAGGCAAGAATGAAGCCTTCTTCACTCTTATCAATGCCTTTTTATTCCTTAGTCTTGTTTCAAGACTTTCTAGTCTTCTTGTCTTTGGCAATAGCCATTCTAATTTAACATTATATAATTTGAATGATTATCTAGTCTTTTCGAGTGCCACAAGAATATCTTGATTTTTTAGTTCTTTAAGATTTATATCCTTGATAGTTTGATAAGAGTGCTAATTCATTGTTTTTGTCTTATTTTAAAAATAAATAGATTATTTCACTTTTATTATTATCTTTTGAAGCTTGCAAATTATCCACCTTTAAATAAATTATTTATTTTTTTAATAATCATTTTTTCTTTAAAGAAAACAAATTATTTTTCTTTCTAGAAATTTTTATTGATATTAAAAGATTGTGGATTATCTTTTTTTAATTTGAATTGTGAATTTATTAAATTATTTGAAATAGAAGAAAAAATCATAGATGCTACACTTGACAAAAGTGAAAATAGATTTGTAACTATTATAGATCTTTATAAATTTTTCAATACTCTTAAGATAGAAATTTTATGTATTACTAGTCTCAACCATGGAAATACCAATTCTATGCCTATGGAAGAAGTTCATAGTCTATGTCAAGAAGTTGTATAATTAAAGGAAGCAAATAGATTGATTTCATAACTAAATCTATGAAGTTTTGTTTGTATAAGTACAATAAGGATAAGGATTAGTCTGCCTAAGAAGTTTGATGGAATAAGGACAAAATTTTGACATGTTGCAACATGTTAAGTTCTCTCTAAGGTTGCATTCCTTCCAATACCCTAATAGATTTATTCAAGTTGAGTTCATAGGTGCACTTCTATTTGAAAGTGCTTTCTCTTAATTTTCACCTTTGATAGAAAAAGATTCATAATTCTTTTATGATTTGAATTCATTCTTAAAAGTATTTATATTCATATTTGGAGAAAATAATTGAGTAAGAATAACAAAGATCAAGCTCTTATCTTTATGATAAGAATGACAATTAGCCACCATATATACTACTAAATTCTAAAACCTTGCTTGTATTGTAGACTCAAATGACAATATTGAAAGCAAAATCTTTGGAATAATTTAGTACTGAAGCCATTACATGCAATAATTGATTATTTGAAAGGCACTAAGAACAAAGACTTGACTAAAGAGGAATAAATCAAGTAATAACAAATATCTTTTAAACTTTCAAAAACTTATTCATCAAGATTAAAACCAATACAAATTGATACAATACATTTTAAATTCCTCACATAGCAAAAAAAAACTCAACATTGTCAAGAAGGTTTGTGCTTATGTTGTGAATAATCTAAACTTATTATTCAACTTTATTCATAGAAGTAATGCAATCACAAAATGAAGAGTATGATTGCCAAAGAAGACAATGTATTAGAAAACAAGTTTCTTCAATTATAATAAAGACCATGCAATTGGAATCATATGCAATACCTAATAAAGGTCTTATTCTCTCTTCAAATCTCTCAACTTTTTTTACAATAAATAGATATTTAAGACCTAAAAATCACAAAGACTTTGCATTATTATATTTAAGAGCCTTAACTTGTTATATAGACAAAGGCTCTGTTAAAAAATAAGAAATATTTTTAGTGAAGAAAACTAAACTTGTATATGTAAAAGTCATAGATGGACATTTGTTAACTTTGAGAGATATTACTCATGACACTATTCCTTTAGATGTAGTAATTAAAGGTCATAATAGCATAGTAATATTTAATATAATAAGATCTTCCTTCAATCCAATTATTTTAGGATTATTGTGGTTAAAAAAATATAATCCTTAAATAGATTGGATTTTTCATAACCTTAACTATTTTGATAGTTTAATCCAAAGTCTTGTTAGTCAAGTAGAAATACATAATTCTAATATATCCAAACCTTTATTTATAGGTGCAAGAGCTTTCATGCATGTAGCAAAAGAAGAATTATTTTTTGCTATATATATCATATTTATTTTTAATAATAGAAAGATAACAAGTAATATTCTTAGCCAGTATCAAGATTTTTAGGATGTTTTTTATAAAAAAAATATAGATATTCTTTCAAAGCATCAACCTTATGATTAATCAATTGATTTGCAAGAATGAATTCAATGACCATTTAGACCAATTTATAGCTTATTGCAAAATGATCTGGCTATACTAAAGAAATACATTGATGAAAACTTAGCTAACTTCATATATTATTTAAAATTTTCAACAAGAACTCTTATCTTATTTGTGAAGAAAAAAATGGACATCTATGGATGTGCATAGATTTAACAAGATCACCATGAAGAATAGGTATTTTTTTACTTTTGATTTTAAAACTTCTTAATCAATTCAATCAAACAAAAATCCATACAAAAATAGATCTATGACGAGCATACAATCTAGTCTACATCAAAAAAAGAGATAAATAGAAGACTACTTTTTAAACTAGGTATGGACATTTTGAATATTATGTCATGCTTTTTGGATTCACAAATACATAATCCTCTTTTTAATATCTTAAAATTGATATTTTTTGTAATTTTTTAAATAATTTTATTGTTTGTTATTTAAATAATATTCTAATTTTTTCTAAGAATATAAGAGAATATGAACTTCATGTTTTTTGAATATTACAAAAATTTAGAGATACATGATTATATACCAAAAAAAAGTGTATATTCTATACTACTCAAGTTGATTTCTTAGGATACATCATTTCTAACAAAGGTCAAATAATAGATTTGAAGAAAGTCCAGACTATCAAAGATAAGAAGATTTCAATAACAATAAGAGATGTGCAATGATTTTTTTAATTTGTCAATTATTATAGGATTTTCATAAAGAAATTTTTTTAAATTTTAGTTCTTCTTATATGTTTGACATGTAAAGATAAATTTTAATAGAACAAAGAAATTAAGGCATCTTTTGAAGCCTTAAAGAAAGCATTTGTTTTTGTACCAACTTTGTATTGAGTTGATTTTTTTAAGGCATTATTTATAGTAATAAATGTATCAAACTTTGCTATAGGTGCCATTTTGTTACAAATGAGAGCAGATGATAAGCTCTATCTAATAGTTTTTCATTCTAAGAAATTTTTAATAGTTAAGATTAATTATGAGATTCATGACAAAGAGCTTTATATAATTGAGGATTCATTTCAAAAATGGCATTATTATCTAAAAGGCGCCTTAAATCCAATTGCTATATATATAAATCATAAAAATCTTAAGTATTTCAAGTTGACGTGTGTTTTGAATCATTGCTAAGCTTGTTGGAGCATGTCTTTATTAAGATTTAATTTTAGGATTACTTATCAATTCAAAAATAATAAGGTTTGTTAGACAACTTTTTAGATGTTTGTATCTTTTACCAAAAGAAAGAAACATAACTTTTTATCAATAAGGATTTTTTTTAAAGCTATAGTATTTTCATCTTTGAGTAATAAAATCAACAATAACTATTGATTTAACCTTTGTCAAGCAAATTCAATCAAATATGTCCTTTGATCTTCTTATTCATAATATCAAGAATAATTCTTTTAAGTCTCATATAACTTCCAAGTTTAAGTTTAAAAATAATCTATTCTATTTTGACAAACAATTATATATTCTAGAAAGCAAAGATCAATTATGTGTTCTTCAAGTTTGTCATGACTTTCTAGCAACTAAATATTTTGGATATAATTTGGAGCTATTATTGAAAGATTTTTGGTGACCTCAAATGTAGAAAGTTGTGAAAGACTTTGTATAATCAAGTGATATTTTTTTAAGATCAAAAACTCCTTGTTTTTGATGACAAGAATTCTAATGGTTGAAGTTTTTGATGACAATTTTTGTCTAATGGTTGAAGAAGTCTTCAACCATTACCTATTTTCAAACAAACATAGTCTTTTATTTCTATGGATTTTATCATAGATCTTTGAGTCTTATAATTGTATGATTTTATATTTATAATAATAAACCATTTTATCAAGATGGTACATTTTATACTATATACAAAATCTATCATAAGTAAAAAAATGACTAAGCTTTTTCTTAACAATATTTATTGCTATCATGGATTGCCCAAGGATATAATATCAAATAGGAAGAATCAATTTGTATTAAGCTTTTGAAAAATCCTTTTCAAGATTTTAAAAGTAGATATAAAGATTTTTTTTGGCTTTGAATCTACAAATTGATAAGCAAACAAAATGGATGAATCAAGTTCTAGAACAATATTTTAGGTGTACTATCAACGATCATTAAGATGATTGAACAATTCTTTTGCTATTGGCAAAATTTACATACAATAATTTAGTACATTTTTCTAAATAGAAGAAATTTTAGATTCAAAGTAATGCCAAAATAAATTAAAATATCTTATTCATTGACATAGATATGATATTAATAAATGCACATGGTACCTAATAAAAAATCTTGCAAATGCAACAAAGAAAATTGAAGTTTTTCATTAATGACATCCATCAAAATCAAGATGAAGAAAAGTAAGATCCATGAAAGAGAATAATTGCTCCTTGTAGAACTTGTCTCTAAAAGAAAAGATAATATCATGGATATATATATATATATATATATTTATTCTAATAATTATCAATATGATTAGGTAGAAGTAGATAAAAATAAATTAATTTCATAATATCTTTTAAAAAAGCTTTTTAGAAGCTTCATAGACATTGCTTTGACTTTACACAAGTTTATAGTTAATTGATAGGCTAGAAACTTGGTCAATAAGTTAGCCACGTATCACTCATATTAATAACTTATATAACAAGTTAATTATGTGGCCTACATATAGATAATTTGCAAGTTAAGACATGTGTCTAACAAAGTCAATATGTGTTGAAGGTCTTATAGCATATTGCCACATAGCTCTTAATTAGAGAATATATATGGAGGTAAAAGAAAGTAAAAACCAACAAATAATCATGACAAAAATATTGGACTTTAATAACATCTATTTATCTTTTATTTAGAAATTTTAAAAAAATAAGTGACATAAGTTTTGTAGAAATATTGAGTTTGAACCTAATTTTTTTAATACAAATATATGGTGAATTATTTTTAAAATAATTTTTTAAAATAAATTATGTTTTTTAAGGATATCATTAGTCAATCGTATTTAAACTGTTGCTCTTTTGATGATTACTCATGATCAAAACATATGTAAGAAAATAATTTATGAACATCATTTTACTAGCTGATATTTTAAAAATTGGACAAATTGTGTCAAATTAATCATAGAGTAAGAAAAAATTAAGAAATTTAAATATATTTATGTCATGATTATTTGTTGGTTTTTGTTATTATGTCAAGCAAAAGTACGAGCTATATATATATATATATATATAATTATTATTTATGCATTAAGCGCAAGAAAACGTACAGCAAATCAGGTTTGCTATGACTAAACTAGCTTTAATATTTAAATTCAATTAAATAAATGCATATGTAACTGAAAATCTTGTGAAAGTGCAAGGTTAAATAAATTTGAATGCTGATTGTATTGTGCTATATTAACTACTTACATTTCAATAGAACTATAAACAATTTTCAAGTGATTATAGATAGACATAAAATTTGATTCTTAAAAATATCATCACCAAATTTTCTAATCTTTTAAAAAAATATTTTTTGTCCCATAAAAGTTCTTATCAAATAATTTCTTTTGCTTCCAGTATGTCTTTAATAGACTACTTTCATGAACTATTCCTGCATTAGCATTCAAGTCATACTTACTATATAAAGACATGAGATATATATATATATATATATATACATATATATATATTCACATACATTCACACAAACACAAATAAAAGGTATCAAATATGAAATCCAAAAATCATAATTTAGTATTAAGTTTGAGCATTACATTATGTGTACGTGCGGATTGCCTTGGATGTGCTTGATGTAATTAATGAAATGATTGATGAATTAATGTTACATTGTCTTTGCAAAAAAGTTTAGAAATGAGTAGGCTGGGCTGAATCTTTCTTTTATAATAATACATATTGGTTGTTCAGAAATCCTTGCCAAATACTATAATCTTCAACCTCTAAATTTCAAAATCCCATCCACCAAAACAAATCAAATCAAATTAAATAAATGAATCAATCAATATTAATTCATTCTAAAAATAAAGAAATCCAACTTCCACATATCACCTTATGTTTTATTATTATTATTATTGTAAAGTCTTTGACATGTTTGAAGCCATCAAATGTTTTTTCATTTTTTTAATAATAGAATAAAACATAAATTTAATAATAATGATAAGTAAAAACTCTATAACATGTTATTAACTGAATTTTTTAGAATTAAATATTTCTAAATATCAATAATTATTTAATTAATTTTTTAATTATTATTAATTATTTAATAATAATAATAATAATTTTTATTTTATTTTCTGAAGCGGTAATAATCAATAAACGAGGTCTCTCCATGTAAAGAAGGGGGCAGGAGGACGGGCAGACCTTGATCATGCCAATGCTCTGCCCCGCCGCCTAGCGTCTCTTCTATCGCTTCGACGCGCGTCACCGTCAGCGGCATCGTCAGCGGCGTAATCGACGTCAGCGGCATCAATGCCGGCCGCGACCGCAGCTCAGTGTCAATCTCCGCCGCAGCGATGGAGCTCCCTGCGTCCAGCGCCGACGCAGGCGTGGCTGCTGACCCGGTCGCCGACTGGCTCTGAGGCCCGACCGCCTTCAACCTTTTGGCGTCCGGCAGATACGGCTGCACATCCCCACTGATCTCCGCTTCCCCGCTCCTCATCTGGTTCACCCGCCACTCCGCATCGACACACACACACAAAAACCCCATGAAAATGCGATCCACACCTTCCGTTTCTTGTGTAATCGGTTTTGCATACTTCAATTACGCCCGGAGGACATGTTTCCTCTGTGAATGCGGTCTAGTTGGCAGCTTGTGATGTGGATTTGTGGAAGTTGGAACAGTTGCGGTGGTGGACGTATTCTGGACATTCAGCTGATGGGTGCCTTGAGTACCGAGATAAGAGAGTCATCTAGACATGTTGAAAACTGTGTGGATGTGTATTGCATGTTACGACATTGGGCTAAGCAAATGAAAGCGATCGGCAGTGTTACTATGAGGAATGCCACTCATAATGCAACTCATAATCTATTCACAATGCGGTTTGAATTGCTACTCGTCGATCAAGCGATGATTGGTTGGTTAGGTTGCTGTAAGATAAGGGTGGAGAGCTATTTTGCTGTAATGAAGAGACGTGTGGATCAAGTCAGTCATATTCAGATTACCTTACAAGTACTTCCAGTTGCGGTGCAGCTCAGCCTGCGAGTTCTGCCAACCCGCTGCTGCAGCTTTCGCTTAGCTCGTGCTTTACGGTTCTGAAACCAGTTGTACACATTTGTTTCTGAGATGTGACCAAACTGGTTAAGTTCTATGGTTATGTCTTTAATCCTAGCTTTGTTGGGAGTGTTTCCATTTCCCTGCTCGAAGATACTCTCTAGGTTTTGCAGCTGCTGCTGATTAGCACTCCATCGTGATCGGGTAGGGGGATTGGTTGACGCCCTTTGTTCACAGGCCATGCCGCACGCGAGGTGAGCTTTGTTACTTGATTGTCCTGGAATCTAACGCTACTGCAACCCGACCAGCTCTGCAGGATTGACAGGACCGGGAAATGGTCGATATTATGGGCAAGTCGTGCACCGGGTGGAGCTTAACTTCTTCTCTTGATGAGGTTACTGATCCCTAACGGACGCGCCTCTTGACCCTTCGCACGCCGGTTAATCAGGAACTTCCCAAACGATACACCAGTCTGTGGCAACGTTCTACTGGCAGACCGTGATGCGACATGCTTCTAGTCATGTGTCCGTTTAGCAGCCTCCACAGATTCATAACGAGCTATCTGACTCACCACCGCGACGACGGCCTTCGAGATCCGATGCTGGTCATGCTACGAGCTTCTGATGTGATCGCTTTTAAGGATAACGAAGAACAACGTGCATTAATGAGCACATGGGTTCAATGAAAACCGGTGTTCCTCGAGCCTGGAATACTTTGTTACGTTTGTTCGGATAGCACACCCGGCACTTCTACACAAAGCTGTAACCAATTCAATCGGGAAACCATGGTAAACTTGAATGATTTTTTTGAAGTAAGAGAAGGAAGTGTTTTGATTCATTTAGAACGTGTAATTTGAACGAATTGAAAAGATTCTGTTGCAGTAGACACATCCCCTTGCAAGCTCATCATGTTTTCAGAGTAACGTAACATGATTTGATTTTCAAACTCACGTTTTGTGGCAATTTCATTAAGTTGTTTTTAAGAAAATTTTGAGTTATGGCATGTGGAGTGTAAAGGTGCAAAGATAAAATAATCATTTGTTAGTTCGTAGTTTTGATTAACCAAATCCATTCTGTAAAGATTTTATTTTAAATTTGATCCACTTAAATAAACGGATTATAACTAAAGAGATATATTTGTGGTTGTACCGGAATTGCAGAATGAAGTAATTTCTTCAACCTAGCATATGATTTGAAACACTGATTTGAACTACTACAAAGAATTTGATTACATTGTGCGTATGAATGTTCAACAATGCACACCATCTGTAATATCGTTATCACATGCACACCATTAGTGATGACAATTTGAGGGTAGTATTAAATCTATCCACCTAAATCTTAAATCAACTCATTGTTACTAAAAATACAAATCTTACCTCCACCAAAACAGCCATTAATCATTTTGTACAAATCATGGATAAGGCATCTACAATTCTATCTATTGAAATCTTATGCAATATGTATTACACATTGAGTACATGTCAAAAAATAGAGTAGAATAGAGGGAATTTGGTGGAAGTAAGACCATAGATCAATTTAAAATTTAAGTGGATCAATTTAATATTCCCCTAATTTAAACCATGCGAGTTCATATCAACACATACCCCGTGCTGAAGCCCTCATGGGGTTAATTGATGCTTGCTGTGATTGATTACATAGCTGGGCCTTGCGCACAGGCACCAAAAGCACCCACTAATTTGTTACAATTTAAGTGATCGTGGAGAGTGTAGTATGTGGTTTTGTGAGTCTGAAGGAGTGAACAAGGCGGTCGGTTAGGAAGCGGAAATCTCTTAAGCAAAACAACACATTTGCATAGCTGTAGTGGTTCGAATGAGACGTTTGTCGACTGGCCTGGCTGAACTAGTGTTCCTTACTGCCCGTGTGGGTGGTGGGCGAAGAACTTATGTGCACGGATGCTCTGGGTTTCCGAAGGACGACGAAGAAGTATGGTGCATTGATTCAGTTCTCACAAGTAATGGCTTGAGAAATAACTAATGTCGAAGGAACATCGGTGATTCGACATCGGTAATGTCGAAGGAACATCGGTGAAATGCAGCAAGTGGATATTTGAGTGCCACAAATGAAATAATCACCATGCCAATGACCAGCAAGATATGTGGAAAAGATCCGTAGAATCGGACTGTGAACAAAGAATAGCCATAGATAGTAGCATTAAAATGGGCTTTTTCACATCATACTGTTCAATTTTCTACGGTCTTCACGTCAGAGAACAGCTATTTGAGCCATGTTGGCTGTAAAACATTGTTAACAAGCAAATTGAACAACTCTTAACTTATCTCCATGTAGCCGACGACGAGATACTTCACGCTGCAAACAGAGAGCGTCTAGAGAAAGGAGGTTAGTAGATAGCTTCGTCTGCATCTTATTACTATGAAGAATCTATCAAACAATCGATTGGAGTACCAATAAACTTTCCTGCACCCGTTCTTTGTAGCGGGATAATAAGTGGAAAGTTTGTGCTAATTCCACACTACTTTTGAAACTATTGAATAAGCATCACAAATAAATTGGTGGTACCGCATGTCCTCCATATCCTATCACGCATGAGGTTTTGCTGAGTCAACCACAGAATGTCAGGGATTAGCTAGAATGAACTCACAATTGGTATAGAAATAAAACAAATGATTGCGGTAATCAGATACCATGATGTTTACACAAAACCAGAATCAAAATGTACAGCTGTTACTCACTAGGGTCAATTTGATGTCTCGTAGTAGGCAGCTCGGAGGACAGAAAAGGATGCGCATTGTTAATTCCTTGTCCTGTGATAGAAGCGGCAATTCAATAGATTGATTCAGCGAACAATTCCGCGTTGCAAAAATGTGATGAGCTGAAACAAACTGAATGATCACACAGCATACGACCACAAGATGTGTGGTGCAATTCTTTAGAACAAGATCACAAACTCAACCAGACGAGATGAGTGTGTACCCGTCGATTCCCATGGATAAGCCGAAGCCGAACGGAAACAGAGGATCGTAATACTTATCGCCCACATTCATGGGCAGCTGATCTACGCTTCGGAACCACGTTCTTGAGAGCTTTCCTGTGAAATCGTAAGCGCCGAAGAGAACGTCTGCGATGCCGAGGCCCGCCTCCGTTCCAGGCAACCATGCTGCAACAAGAGCATCCATCATAGGCAGGTATGGCTCGATCACCAAAGGCCTTCCGGAGATGATCACCACCACGCATCTTACGTAGCGGCAGGTGTTCCGGATGGCGTGGGTGCCCATAAGAGGGATGGTAAGGTTGGTATTATCCCCTTGGCTTTCGGCATATGGAGGTTCTCCAACCACGACGACGGCGTAATCAAAGTCTTGGTCCTTGATAAGACTCTTCTTAGCCCTCTCGGAGTACACCACTTCGGTGGTGGGAGAGACAGCCTGCTGAATTCCCTGCAGGACTGTTGTGCCAGGGGTTATGTCCCCAAAGCCTCCTTGCCAATGAATCGTCCATCCTCCACATTGCAATCCAATGTCGTTAGCGTGAGAGCCAACCACAAGGATCTTCTTCGCATGTCTGTTTAATGGAAGAAGGCGCGACCCCGGATAGATTCCATTCTTCAATAAAACAAGAGATTTGCGCACTGCCTCTCTGCTCAATTGCCTGTGCCACTGCAATCGTCACGAGATGACAACAGTTATTTCAGATAATTAAGCATGTTTCGATAGAAATTGCCATCAAGTTAAGAGATGACTGTAAATTTATGTTGACGTGACTTACATCGTGGCCGACACTCAACTTGAGCTTGTTATCAGAATAAGGGCGCTCAAAAAGGCCCAACTGGAATTTGACGCGCAGGATGCGCGTGACCGCATCATCAATACGAGACATGGGAATTAAGCCGCTCTTCACCATTTGGGTCAAGTTTCCAATGAACTGGTCGTACGCGAAAGGAACCATTATCTATGCCACCGTCAATTTTGAAATTCATCAATTAACGTTTGTCATGTAAAGCTCAGGATCTAACACACCATTAATCGTTTTAACAGGTCTTCGAGAAGCTTCGATCTGATCAAACACACCGAACTAATGTAGTTGCTGAACCATATTGCTAAGATTGACATTAAACTTCACATATGGGTAATGGGTGGGTGGTACCATGTCCAGGCCGGCTTGAATGCCAGCGTAAACAGAGTACGTGTAGTTAACTCCCGGTGGATCAGTGATCTGGTCGATACCCATGTAATCCGAGATGATGAAACCCTTGAAACCCAGCTGCTCCTTTAGCACTTTAGTCAACAGGAAATGGTTGGCGTGCATTTTCACCCCATTCCAGCTGCTGTAAGACGCCATGATAGTTGTCACTCCTTTGTCAATAGCATCTTTGTAGGCCTTCATGTGAATGTTCACTAGCTCATCGTAGCTAACTTCGGTGTTGTTTCCGTTGATTCCGTCAGTTGTGCCTCCGTCACCCACAAAATGTTTGGCACACGCGGCCACCCTGTCGCTGCATGATCACAGCCATGGCACCGAAATTAATCTTTGTGAGCGAAAGAATTTCGCTTGAATTGTTTCATAAACTTCTATATCTTCGAATTTCTTTAGCAACAAAAAGAGTGTACCAGCAAACATGCCGCGTACCTACTCTCTACGTAGGGGCCATCCCATCCGGGAGGAGCCCTGCCTTGCAAACCATCGATCAGGGATGTCATGTTCCTCACAATCTCCGGGTCTTCACTGTAACTCTCATAGCACCGTCCCCACCTTGGATCCCGACAAACCTGGCAAAATTATCACCAATTCCGATCAAAAATCTATCGGGCACTTCAATATTCCGTTCGCACACCAAACTGGTTCACATTGCATGCTTCCAATCTCAAAAAACGCAGACCCAAGTCACAGAAGATGTTTCCCGGATGACAATTTTGATGAGGTGACAGTACACGAATTCCTCAGCTCTAATATCCGAGTAAATCCAGCGAATCCCATTCACTCTGTCGCAGTTACAAACTTTTATACCGCAATGCAAGGAGCAAAGACGTATGAAATTCCCGTTGCCCGACTCTCCAGAGCTGTGGCCGTCCCAATGCGCTCCACTAAGTCGGAATCCCTGCACGTTCCATGAGGTTGATTTTGAGAAAATCCGTAACAAGCCATTAATCACCAATGTCTAACTGTCAGTTGTTAGGAAGAAACAGAATGCGCAGAACTGTTACCTTGTGCAACCGAGGCCAATGTTGTGAGGGAAGATTGTAGCACCGTAGATGTTGTTATTGCCGTGAACTGCATCAATCCCGTAATTAATTGGAATTTGCAAGCGTGAGCTCATGGCAGCCCTCTGAAAGTAGTTGGTCATATTGTCCCATTGAAACACACTTGCATTCTCGGCCGGAGCGCTTCCTCCTCCACTCAAGATACTTCCTGCGCAATGCACCAAGAATAACAGGTTCATAATCGAGCTCAATCACCAACTTCGCACTTCGATATCCTTATTCAAATAATTCAATGACGCACAGAGAGTGACCAGCAAGCACACACACCGAGTCCGAATTCCCTAATATTAGTGTGATTGGTAACGGTGCGCTCTGTCTGCGTCATCTGTCCTATCTTCTCCAGAAGTGTCATGCGGGAGAGTAGATCCTGGATTCGGTCCTCCACGGGCCGCTTCGCATCCTGGTACAATCGGTAACGGTCCCTGCTCACAGACGACTGTTTGGCTCGGGTGCCATGAAATGCCAAGAACGCCACCAGAGTGACCAGAACCAGCCGCGAGGTCAATGCCATTGCCATGAGCTAACTATGTCGCAGCCGAGACTTCAACTGAATTCCTGTTAATTCACCTGCATGTGTAATACCTGTTCGTCAATGACTATAGAAGGTGATCTCGAGCTAATGTCACCACTTTCTCTCAGAAGCATAACACACTCAACACACGGAAAGAGAGCATCGGTGAGTGCTAACAAAACGACGGGATTTTCGGAGTATAGCTGCAATCACGTACCAACCATGGACTTCCACAAAAAGGAAGGACAGTCACTGGAAGAATCTTTACTCAAGATAATCTCTAAAAAAATATTACAGTGGATTCCAGATGAAAGATGTCCCTGTGACTCAAGCTGCACCTTTGCATGTTTGGCTCGAAGCTATGTCGGGACTGGGATGTCTGGAAGTTGGGTCAGCACCGGGATTTCTGTCCCTGAATCATGTGCACACAACGCCACATTGCTTCAGAATGTTGCAACAGCACACGGGTGTGTTCTAAGACACTCAACTTCTGCGTGACAGATAGCCGACTCGGCAACCTGTCCAAGAAGACCGGTAAGAGGAGAGGGCTCCAACACAGAGCAGCTGCAGAAAACAGGACAGCCTCACAGCTAATCACAACCAATCCCAACGAAGCTCCTCAAACCTCAGGTACATGCCATGCAGAGTTCGAAGACACCTCGAACCACAGAAGCACAATGGCCGCGGACGCGCAAGAGAACGATAGCTACTCCTACGAAGATAGAAAGAACGATAACGAGTGATGATACTCGGTAACCGCATGGGAAACGCTAAAACTCGCAGAGCACGGCCCAAGTCCACCCACCAGAGTCAGCAAAACAATAAACTGCAGCAAACAGAGACGTTTTCTCGCCTGGTGAAGATGTGGCAGGTGGCAAGACCATCTCAGCTGTTTGCCAACATATAAGACGAAACAGGAAAGATATTGATCGGATGGAGCTCAAGGGCACTGCAGGGAACGCAGGGGAGAACATATTCGTAACATGTTTGTCTGCTGGTGCGCATACCAGGCTGCCATCGAAGAATGCGGCGACGAATATATGAAGGGCCAGCTCCAGATATGTACGTGGCAGTAGGGTTAGAGGGATAGCTCTCTGACTGACTGCAGCTTCTTCTGCAGCAGATGTGGTTGTACCCACGACACGAAATGGCGATTAATTAGCCTTTCCCTCTCACCGGCCATGCACACTGTGTGCTGCACGAGGTTTTGCTTTTAACCCCTTCCGTCGAGCGATTGGCCTCCTCCTCCTCGTCCTCCTCCTTTGATTTAGTGACACCGCTTCAGTGCTGTGCTACATCTCTTTGCACAACTGGGTGTGTCGCTGGACTGGGCTGCACCAATTCATTTCCACGTTGTACACATGATGATGCAGTGACAGGACCCAGTCCAGTGCCCTGCTCTGCTCCCTCCCCTCACCCCCTGACAGATTTTGCAGCACGACTTGTGGGGCTGGGTGTCGAGAGCGGCCAGAATCATGGCCGGGGATCACTCTTCGGCATCGCCACCATGGTCGTCGACGCATGAATCAGCGGGAGAGCGTGTCGTTTGTTGTGGGAGCTGCCAACGGGACCACTCTCAACGCCCCTTGAGAGTGGTCTTCCTCCTCCATTTTGCTTTTTCCACCTTTATTGATAGTAATTGGTTGCCATTCTGAGCTCCTGCCGCTTATTTATGGTTCCTTTGGCGTGTATAAGTGATGGTTGGATTCTATGCTGCTGCACCAGCAGCAGCATAACTTCCAGAGAGACTGGAGTCAGCAGGATGTCTTAAATGTCTGACTTTATGGCCCACACTTCTCCCTGAAGCATTCAATCCCCCCCCCCGCCTCCCCACACTCCCTTTCCCTTTGGCAATCATCCTATTCTTTTGCTCTTTTCGTGTTCATGAATGAATTGGGTTAAATTGGGTGGAATTGAAATACACAAACAATGATAAACTAAATCATAACAAGATATGACTTGTGTGTGTACATGGCATTGTACTGTATGAGTTTTTTTAGGGTTAAGATGGAATTAAAGTGTGCCATTGGCTTGATGGGTAAAAGGAATCTGGTGAACTCTATTTGTGCATAATGTGTAATCTATAGGAGAATGGTGAAAGATAGGACATGATTTGATGTCAGTACTGGCAGGTTATTGCATAGCTGAAGCCCTCTGCAAACCACCTTTTTTGCTACACCCCTTTATTTATATATATATATATATATATATTTTATCTGATCTTTGCTACCCAGTTGATTTCACCAGAGGAGATCAAGATCATGTGGATTTCTTCATCTCAAAACTTCCAACCTAACCCTATATTGCTACACCTGATTATTGGACGATGCATTGTCTTTTTAGTTGCAATCATAAATGTCTTACTAAAGAGAAATTATTTATACACATTTACTGAAGCTTAACTGAGTGCACACAAAATAAAGTAACAACAAGTTTGAAAGGAATAAGGAAATACAAAGTTGTTTGATGATTATTCTTCTGCAGTGTTGAAGATCTTGTTTCAGTTACCCGTATTAGTGGATCATCTTTTAAAATAACACAATATATTTGTCAAATTGATTAATTTGAAATATAAACAACTTAACATATTGAAAATGACTCCTATTCACAATCTTTTTACTATTGTAAATACACATCTATCTTCTATGATTGTACTAAAAAGTTGTGTGTACTGTTATTAACAAGGATGACTGAGTTAAAAATTCGAATCTTCAAATTATCTATCAGATCAATATTCTACTTATGTAGCATTTAAAACAAACCATAATTCATATATCTATCAAATCAATATTCTAATTTTCTCTCTTTGTAAATAATTCAACAACAAGGCCTAGTCAAAGCTTCATACAAATCACAGTCAAATCTAAGATGTAAGATGCCAACATAATGACTTTTCTATTGTAATAAACTTATAAAAGAAGCTTTTATAAACAAATGGTGCATTTATACACAATTATAGATCTAATGTGTGTATAAAAAGCTTCTTTGATATTATTTGATAAAGACTTAGTTTATCAATCAAACTTACATTTATTATTTATTATGTGTATGTATGTATGTATATATATATATATATATATATATATATTAAAGCTGCACCCCAACATTGTTAAAGCCACACCCGTTCTCAACTCATGATTCATTTTTGTACAAGTTCTATGTCCCCCACCCCCGTTCTCCACCCCAGCCTACCCCATCCCTGTTCCAGCCCCACCTTCTTATTTCCCCCTCTCACTTCGGTCATTGCATAAAATTAATGATATATGTTTATATGTGAATATACATTTTTTTAATATGGGTATTTGGTTTGCTCTCATCTTTACGTTACAATTAAGATATCAATCCAAGCCTTCAAGAAGCCACATCTAATTTATAATTTTAATTGCTTAGCAAAGCGGCTATATATATATATATATATATACATACATATACACAAAATTAAAAATATCAATACCTTAAATATGTAACTTAGATTATAAAACCTGTTTATTTTTAGATATCAAAATATCAAAATAAAAGATTGAATACTAATAAAGAATCGGATTATTGTGGTTATTTCTTAACAATATATTTTTCATTATGGCCAAATCATCCGCAAGTGGCTATTTTATTTTATTTATTTATTGTGTCACTTCTTTATGTCAAATGCTGTCCATGGTCATGTGTTTTCATTGCAATAATTTTCTATTATTTTATTTTTAATTATTAACTATAATATATAAGGTTAACAAAACAAAAAAAGCAATCAATTAATTAAATGTCAGTTTTACTGATGTAATACATTGATTTTAATCAAAATAATTTTGGAATCCGTATGTACTTTAAAAATCTCTATCAGGCAAAGACCTTTGGAGTAAAGCATTTCGTGATTATTTATTTATTTATTTATTTTCAAATCCCAGCAAATTCATATATACACATACTGAAACACAATAGAAAATTTTCAATTATTAAAAATTAACTAATGTAAGAAAGTAGTCATATAGAGATTACAAAACATTTAATTATCCGTAATAAAGTTAATATTCTTCAAACAATTAATTAAAATGAATGATTCTAATTGAATAAATAGTGACAGATATGATCTCAGCCTTATCAAAATCAGAAGCACTTCTACTTTATATTGCACAAGTCATTGTTGACTTCCATTCAAAAAAAAAAAATTAAAATGTATATTTACATAGACTTAAACATACATACATATATCATTAATTTTTGGCCAAAGGGAGAGATGAAAACAAGGGGGTTGGGTTGGGGCAGGGGAACAGGGATGTGAGATGGGAACGGGGTGGGGGACGTGGAACTTGTACAAAAATGAGGCATGAGTTGGGAATGAATGGGTGGCTTTAATAATGTTGGAGTGAGGCTTTAACAACTTCTTATATATATATATATATATACACACACACATAATGCATGATGTTTTCTATAATATATAATAATCATGATTTTTATGATTAATTTATATTTAATATTTACAAAAAATATAAAATATAAGATGAATATTACTAAAAAAAATAAAAGAACTAAACTTATTTTTATTAAGATTTAATTTTTATGTATTTAATAAATTATGTAAAAATCAAAAAATCTAAATTTTGAATACATAAACTAGTTTGATAACATGTATCAATAAGAATGTATCAACAATATTCATAAGAAAATCTAAATGAAAAAATAAAATAATGTTATAAGTAGTTATGAAATCTTTTATAACTAATTTAATAAAAAATAATTAAACAATATGTATAACTGCATACAAATTTTAAACTTGTTTTAATTACATGATAAAAATTATAAAGCACAAAGTGATAAAAAATTAACTAAATAAATAATTTATTGATAATAATGTAAAGCTTATAAGAATTATTTTCTTTCAAATTATGTTGTAGGTATTTGAATAGAAAACATATTATAAACAATCATCCAAAATGTGTGTGTGTGTATATATATATATATAAATAATGTTTAACTTATATGTATAATATTAATTCTTATAGTTGTAAAATAATAATAGCCTATCAAGAAATACATGGTTTATACCATACGATTTACTGTTTTATAGTATGTAGACTGTACAGAAAAGATCACACAAATCTAAAATCATTTCGTTTTATATTTGGTAAATTCAAATTATATTCTGATCAAATAATTTCTGATCAATGGTTAATTTTTAACCACGTTCAATACAATCAACTAAGATTTTACTTAGAAATAATTGAGAACTGAATAGTTACTTTAGAATATTTGGTATACATTTTCATTTTTAATTAATTCTATCTCTATTTTTTTACTTAAAACTAAACTTTTCGAAGAAAATCTACGTTTTAAACATTACATTACATTATGAAATATATATATATATATATATATATATATATATATGAAGTTTAATTTTAAATTATATTCTTATTTGTTTAATACTAAAATTTATTTACAAAAAATCAGATAATCTTTAGAATAAATAATTATTTATATCTGCATTTAGTAACATACAATTAATCTGTTTCTAATTTTATCTAGTTAAATTTAAACCTGGTCTTTGCTGCTCTAATGCATCTCCCTTCCTTCCTTCCTTCCTTCCCTACCTCCCTTGTGTTCTCTGTCATCCATCCATCCATCCATCCATCCATGTAGTGGTGTCATGCACACTACGTTGGGGATCACAAAAAGCCATAAGGGGGCTGACTGACGGACTGACGACTCTGTGCCCCCACTTACCCACTCACTCGTCCACCCGAACTGCCTTCCCTGCCATAGCCTTTCCCGGCTGCGGCAGCATTCCTCAGCATGCTCTCTCTCCCTCACCCTGGGAGAGAGGGAGGGAGGGAGGCTTCCACCCAAACACACATATGCACTCACTCACAGTGTCTGTGGCTCTCTGTGTGTGTGTGTGTGTGTGTGGCTGTACACATGCACAGACCCAGCCATGCTACTCCTCATCCGCCTCCTCATCCTCTTGCTGCTGCTGCTGCTTTGCAGCCATACTCCATTCACATACACACACATTTGTTGCCTGCCAGCCTGCCTGCCTGCCTGGGGTTCTACATCCAGTAAGTGAGTGAGTGCTGGGATTGTGAATAGAACAGAATGAATAGAATGAAGGAAAGAATGAATCATGATCCCCCCCAACCCCCAACCCAATCCCTGCCCTGAAGCCAGCCTGCTTTTCTTGTTCTTCACTGTCGATCCAGCTTCCAAGTCCCCGTTTTCCTCCCTTGCTTCCCTTTCATTGAACCCACACACACACAGTGGATTCATTTTTGCACTTGCTTATTTTGAGTTGAGAATTCTTATGAAACATACCCCATATGAAAAAGAAAATTCTTCGGATTAATCGTCAAATCAATATAGATATTATTTTTTTATCACATTTCAAAGGTTTTACATATTTTTATCAATTTTTCTCAATAGTTTTCTATGCTGTAGATCTAAATTCAAAAACAAAAAAACATGGTCACATAAATTCTTTAATTGCATCATCTTGGTTTTTTAAAAAAATGAATGAAACAATATTGCTGCTTTCAATATTAACAGTGTTTCTTTTTTCATTCAATAGTTACATACATTCCTAGCATTTGATTCTATTATTCTCTCCTGTCTGTGAATTTTGGCCTTTGATGACTATCAAGCTATATCCTCAGTTCATTGTGGTTTGTGATAATTGTGTTTCAATTGTTAAGTTTCTGTTAAACGTATTTTAAATATATATATATATATATATATATAACATCTCAAATTTGTACAATGTTTCTGTGTTATTTTCATGCCAAGCATTACATAACTTACATGAATTCTTCTAGAGAAAGGCATGTATCACATTTAGGAAGAGTATGTATATATATATATATATATATATAGAGAGAGAGAGAGAGAGAGAGAGATAGAGATATCACAGTACAAACTTGTGCCATTGGGCACTGCAATCTTCAGCACATCCATCCATTTTCATGTTTCCTAGTTCTTACAGTGATGTTGACAACATCACACCATTTGCATTATCCTAGTTCCTTTCTTCACATCCAATCAAAAGACTTTTTTGTCTCTTTTTGTTTTACCCGAGTTGTTTTATACAATAGATATTCATACATAATAAATACATGTTTGCACTCTTGAATATTGTAATTTTCATTTTTTTTAAAATTATATGTATATATATATATATATATATATCATTTTCTCAATTTCATTTGTAAATCTATGTTTTGTTAGTCATATTTAAGTTTTTACAATGACAAAATTTATTTATGGGTCAGGTCTGAAAGAATAGAAGTTTGTGGGTACCTTACCATGAAAGGCACAGCATGAAAGAGAGACCCGAAGCAAAGAGAGGAGTGAAAAGAAGCATGAGCATGATGGAAAGCCCACCCTAGAAACATGAATCACATGGGGAGTGGCAAAGTTCATACTTTTGGCACCTCCACAACTTGCCAAGCCTCAACAAGCCTCTATACTTAAATCCAAGAAAATCATTCAAATTGTTGTTTTAAAATTATTTTCTGATTTTTTTCTATGAATAGATGTGTTTATTTTTTGGATTTTTTTTTTCTTTTAATCAGGATTTAATAATAAAATCATTAAAATGTTATAATCATTATAAAATGATAGATTTCTTTCCCATTATTTGCAGAACTTATTATTTAAGGGTATGGATTAGATTTCTAAGAAAGACATGTTTTTTTGTTTAGTTTTTGTTGTTCAAGTTGGTTCATTCCATGACCTCTAATGACTTTTTGAAGATGTTCTAAATATGGGTTATTTTTCACCAAATGAGAAATAAGACTTTTGAACCTTCATAGTGGACTTCTAGATAAAAAGTTAAATATATATATATATATATATATAGAGAGAGAGAGAGAGAGAGAGAGAGAGACTGGCTTCAACATGACCATGAAATTGGTCGTGTAAATTATTACCAACCTTAGAATTGTACCATACCCCTATTTTTTTCACATGGAAGTATTGAAATACTGCAGTGAAATGAAATAGTAAGTCGTAAACTCACGAGGACGGAAGGTAGAGTGAGAGAAAGAAAAAGATGGGAAAAAGAGCGGGGCTTGGCGGGGGGTTCGTGAGTTTGGCGCCAACTGTGTTCGAATTCAAACTGGAGGGATCGTCCGACGTGGCATAATGGACCGCGGCGATCCTCCTCCTCTACGTGCTCCGCGGCGCTCCCTTCAAGCGACATTGTCATCGGAGTGCACCACATCCACCATCGTCATGACCCTCCCTCCCTGTGTGTAAGCAAGCAAGCATGCATCGTCATAGATTCCTGACATATTCGCAGACTGTGGATGTCCGCATGCCTGCCTCTCATGGAGACGGACGCAACATGCAGCAGCGACGTGTGTGTCAGACTGTGGATTCCTACCCTTGCATGTATCGTTCGCGGCGCGAGTTTTACACTGCGGTGGGCTGCTTAAATCGAACCTCCGATGCATGGCGAAAGCGATTCAGGCTATGGCTACAGGTAGAATTAGGACAGGTTTGTAGGGGTCGTGATGAGGGTGGGTGAAGGGGGGGTCGGATATGGAGAGGGGTCTTTTCGGGAGCACCAGGATGAGTAGTCGGACTTCCACGCGCCATGGACCCAACGCTCCTTTGTTTCAAGGGCGAGTGAGGCGATGGAATAAGTCCTTGACGGCGGTGGCTCCTTCTTGTACTGCGTCAGCTGCCGTTTGTAGTGTCGTGCTCTACAAGTGGTGTCCTGTTGCTGTGGTTCATGCAACTGGTAAGGCCTTCCAATATTATTGAGCTGAAGTGGAGAGCGGATTATTGAAACATCTTTCTACTCATCCACTTGATAATAGCAGTTTCTGAATCTTGAGGGATGTGCGTTTAGTTGTGATGTTCGATAGGATGCTTGATAAGCGTGGGTAGAGAGAGAGAGAGAGAGAGAGAGAGAGAGAGAGAGAGTGTGATAAGCAACTGCAAACTTTAGATACATGAGGAGCTGCAAAATGAAGTGGGATTTCCACTGTCCATCACTTGAAAATTATTATGACTCAATGTTGAGGTTTTAAATTTGAACTGGGTCATATCATGTCAGGTTCAAAAGAGTCCACGTCGGAGGAGCTGACAGTGACCAAGTCCCTGCGATTTTTGCCCGTATGTGGTCAGTCCTTTCATGAACACCAAGTCATTATCATCCCCTAAAATTCCTTTTAAAATATCCCTAAATACGTGCTAGTTTAATGGCTTATGACGCTGAATTTGTTGATTGAAAGTGCACGCTGTTTTGAGAGGACCATTTGGTGCCTGAATGTTGTGGCATTATGAATGCTTCGGCGTCTTTGCACGACTGAAAATTCATATCGCTGGATGTTCATAGACGTATTCCCAGTGGTCTGCCTCTTCTTTTATACGGCCAGTTTTGTTTTTGTTGCAAATAAATAATGTTGTCTTTTACAGTTGTCAGTAGTTCTTCATCAGAAGAATGAACAAGCTCAGGAAGTTGCGGAGGATATTGAAGCTTTGGTAAGGTTTGAAGAACAAACACAGGTTGCCACAAACGTGACACATGGAGAAGACGAAATTAAGAGGGCAGATTCCCAACAGGTTTTCCACTGGACTACAGTAGGTGTCCGCACGTCGATGGCAACTATAGTCTTGCCCACCCCGTATAGTTTGGGCTTAACTGTAGCTACTGTTCGATTGGTGGCTATGTATTTTCCATGGCGGTTTGTCACTAGTAACTAGTTTACTTTCAGTTTTTGTTACTTGTGATATTCGGGTCGATACATCTTGATGTGACGTTTGTTGAATCGTTTGGGCTTTGCTTTTGCTTTCGCTTTTTTATGTTTTTTTTTTTAATCTTTTATTTCGCCCACCTAATCCTAATCATAAATAATCTGTATTTCTAAAGTTTATGGTGTTTATGTAGGACATGATCATGCATGGTGCTCGTTCGTAGAAATTGATGACAAACAAATGAATCTCACCAAAACAAAATATCAAGGGGTACAGAGCGATGCTTCGGTAACTCGAGAAGAAATTTCTGATTCGTTTCAGGTGCACAGTTTGCTCTCTGTTGTGACTACTTTTGATTCTTCTCTAAATATCAGTAGTAGCTCTTTACCAGTCAATCTTCTGAGGTTTTAGTAGCTTCTTTTTACGCTTCTGCTACAGGGTGAGAGTTGCTGTACAAGAACCCGAAGCTTCAACAATGGACATGGATCGGTAGAAAAGATGGAGCATACTAGTCTTAAAAATCAAAATTTAAGCACATGTCAGCATCTGAACTATCATTACAATGACGTGCTCTGCATTCTGCGAAGGTTTTGTAAATATCTCCACTAAGTTAGGAACTTACTACCTCCGAAATTTTTCCTTGCGTACCCAAGGTGGAATCAGTATTCTCTCATAGATGATTCCAAGCAAGTTCTGCCAGATTCACAAATCTTTGTAAGAGAGTCAATGATGTGGACTGCAGATAGGGTGTAGGTTTGTTTGCCATTGATCTCATGGACCTCAGCCCACTGCAGGTTATCATTTAGTTAAAACATGTTGTTTGGCATGAAGGGTTATCATTTTCTTTGTTTCCCTCCTAGAATTCTTCTTTTAGAAAATGACCCGGATAATGGTGCGCATGACCAATCCCTTGGTGCTTAATTTAGTTCTTGATCAGTTGGATAGTATCGACATGTAGTGATATGGAAGGCGAACTTGAGTGTGAAACTCTGTCGAAATACGCATCGTATGTTGTTTAATTGTCTCTGGCATGTCTAATCTCATCATTGGGAATGGACTTCATCATTTTACAACGTACATAAACAGATATTTTCTGTTGTTCAAACCTCTGAGTTCAGCTATGGTTATCTCTGCCATATTAAGGTGGGTAATGAGTTTAGTGTTGATTGTATTCATGCACTGTTGTTCATCTTAACAAGTTTCAGACTGTCGACATTGTTCACCATTTTTTTTGTGAGTTCTGGAGCTGGAGAACTCCTGAGCAAGGTCCATGAAAAGGATCTTGCCGTACCTCAGATAGTTGCAGAAGCTTTCAGGAACGATGATCATTTAAGATCCGCGTACTAAAAGTCATCGAAGTGCAAGATCCGGCTAGAAGCTCTGCAAAAATCTCTGAAATTAAAGAAAACAGATTTCAAAGTAAGTGTTTCATATTATACATTGTCTGAGCTAAAATGCACGAAGCAATATTGTAGTCATGAAGCCAAACTGAAAATCTCTTACAACGATGTACGATATGTTGCCGCTGGTGATCTCTGCTATGACAACTCTGAGACCATGCCCAGTTTGTTGTGCATAGTAGTTGATGAGGACAAGATTGCCCAAACCAGATCCTGGTTCGCAGCGATAACACCTCTTACATCGTCCACTGGAGGATGTTCCCTTGTCATGACAAATCTCCAAGCTAGTTTGTTCCAATCCTGTAGTCTTATATCCTGGCCCTCGCAATTTGGCACTTGGGTGGACGACGACATTCTTGGTCATGGGATGTGGCCCTCCACTTCTCCAACGTATAATCCTCTGATTTAGGGTAGAAAACATGGGTAGGGTCTTACTTAAGGATGGAACGCTATATCCTGAGTAGGCTTGGAGGTGCAAATACTTCACTCTCCGGAGGTGGTCTCTTACACGAGAGAGAATACTCAAATGAAGGGAGCTAGCGCCTTCATGTTTCAACACAAACGGTAGAACATACAAGTTGTGTGTGCCAGGGGTTTCGTTTGACAAGTGGGAAATCGTCAGTGGAATTTGTGATACTAATTGTGCAAACAGCTGGGAAGGAGCATCAGAATCTGTCGGAGGAATCAGACATGGGCAATTTAAATCAAAGAATTTTGTCTCCGAAGGACAGTAGTGCACAGACTGAGCTTGTAATCTCCTAGTTAGGTCTAGGGCAGGTCCCAGATCTCTGTGTACTACTGTGGTAGATGATGGTCCTTGTGCACGATTTGATGGGCATGGTTTAGATAGACCATGACGAGTCTCCAAGGGTATCTGGGTTGGGATAGGCGAGGAAAATAAAACTGGCAGATATTTACGACATGCAAATGGTGTTGCAGCATGAACGTTGGTAATCAGTGGTTTGGTGATGAACTTTGTAAGAATACGACCTACACCGTTTGAATCTGGTGGACTGTCTGTGTGCCTCAACTGATATTCTTGAACTCGTGACGAAGAAGGTAGGGTTTCACCAAGGCTAAGGGAAATCTCGGACCTTCTATCGTTGAGAGAACGAAGGCTATTTTGAAGTCTCTTGAGACTTTCTATGAGTTTAGCTGTGCCGGGATGGCGACTTTTTGACGAGCTGCCATCAGGGCCAGGTGAACACTCTGACTTATCGGTGCCATTCATGAATCGACGCAGGTTATCTATGGAAGACTGAAGATGTTGGAAGAGAATTGATGGATCCCGTTTTCTGCTGTGGGGTGCTGAATCCTCAGGAATCATGGACCATGCGGATGTCATTGCTTGACTGAGATGGGTATGATTGCCCACATCAGTTCGACCGGAGAATTCTTTTAAGGTGGAGAATTTTAAGAAAGATTTCCGAAGCGGAAGGAGGGTGTTAGATACACTTTTGGAAGGTTTTTCGCCATTTCCAAGGGAAGGGAGCCGGGGGACAGTCGGTGTTTGAGACGAAGGATTAGATGCTTGGGATAGATTTGTAGTACGGAGATAGCTAACGAAGGACTCCAATTTACCCTCCTCTATGCCTGTCAAATGGGTCAACGTCGGCCGGCGTTTCAACATGCTCTTTATCTGCAGATTAAGAAATAATTCAGACTCTCGTTGGTTTCAAGTATCAATTGGTGAGATCTATCATACTATTTAGTTTGTTTCTATTTGATGGAAAATCCAAACCACAACATAATGTTGCTCATGTTTGGAGTGGCTAAAACAGGTACCTTACTGATGAGTTCATCCCCAGTGGTATTCAGTTTCTCCGATTGCCAGAAGTATTGATATCTCCCACTTCGGTCCTTCGAGAGAAACGTCCTTTTGGAGGCATCCTCTTTCAGCTCTTGGATTAAGATACCACCATTTTCCATTCCAGGGCTCGTAATTGCCACTCGCTCTACCATGCCAACATCATCGGCGAATGACAAGCGCATTTCTGAACATGGTAGCAGCATCAAGTTCAAGTAACCCCTGCAGACTCCAGTCTATTAGGATTATCTCATTTACTCAAAAGGGCTCAAAATCCACTGTCGGATGCGGAAGGATCACAGATGGGATAGCATTTCGGAGTGTGGAGTGGAGTAAAAGATTTAAGCAGATCACCTTGCAGAAGTCGGGTAAAGGTATCGGCCATAGCGAGTCACTTTCCCAACTCGAAGTGAAACCACTGGAGTGCAGAGAGAACGTGCCAACAAAGCCAATTCTCTTGCTTTGAAAAGCTACCCATCAAAATACGCAATAGTCACTTGGTATTTCAGCATCCAACATACTTCGACACAACACTCGAGGATTCGATTGGCAATTTGTTCATTTGCCCTCGAGGAAATTGACGGGGTAAGTGGTCAGAGATTCAACGACAGGACAAGCCATGGCAGATTCTAATGGATTCCTCACAGCTTTGCAACAGTTATCTTATCATGAATGAAGCCCAGAGTATTGTACCCAGATGATTCTAGCAGGTTGTCAAACAGCTAAGTGAGATTTTCATTGACGTGTTTGGTGGCCATGTGGATATCCTTGGCACGTTTTAGGAGTAGTAGGGTTGATGAATGAGAACCTGATCTAGGTGAGCAAGAAGTTTGCCGTCTGATCCGAAGCACAACACATTCCAGCGCAACAAAAGCTGAAGACGTTCGTCAGTTCTACAAGCTCCAACGACTTGGAGATCCAAAGCTTGCAACCATTTCAAGGAATCTTCTGGGGCAGTTCCCAGCTGTGTTGCGGGCTCTTCCGCTGACAACCATATTTGCGAAGTCTCCAGTGCTGATTCCAGCCCAGTCCTCATCATCTTGCCCTTTGAGTCCATGCCTGTTGCTTTTCTTTCTGGTTTATCTGAGGATGGCAAATGCTTCAGTAAAGAGTTTTTGGTACTAGACGATACTGATGTTGCCTCTACAGTGGCGTCTGGTTTTTCGCTGGGAAAATGAGGATGGATTACGCTGGCGGCGGCACTATTTGTTGAAGCTTCGGATGCATTATGCTCCTCTGAAGAAATCAGCGGCATCATGGCCAGAAATAACTCTGTACGAGATTGACGAGAGTCTATGTGATTCTGGCCAAAATTCAGATTAAGTGGAACACACTACGGAAAATTTTGGAAATTATGCCTCGGAAGTTGGAAGTATTTTTCTATTATAGAGTATGTTGTTCCTGGGAAGGAGCATCTGATTACGAAGGGCAACTTTTCTTTTGAAAAATTCACATTCTGCCAGAAAAAATAGATGAAATAATTGGCGTCAAATGATCGATTGTTGAGTGAGCATCATAAATTAAGCGAATAGGTCTGAATAATGCCGAAGTTGTGGTCGGTAAATTAGGTCAAAATGCTCTTGCGGGCATCAAGAACTAGTGCATTAAGGTACGATTGGCCATTCTTTTGAATCTAGTAAGAAGGTGAGTGAAGCCTTTTTACTGGGTGGTAGTTATAGCAGGACAACTCATGACATAATCCCGCATTGTCATGAACCTGACCTAACTGTATCATGTCAAGAATCAATTGATTTGTGTAGAAGAAGTGGTTAGGATCAACTTTCATGTTATAAGGAACCTATTGAGAATCACTCCGAGTTAAGTTAAATAACATACTCTGATCGGTGGTTCTTTTAAAGCGTATATTTAATTCTTCTATCTGCATTAGGCAGGATGTGCTTGACATGGGATCGACAGGAGCTTCGGAGTAAAATACTCAGAATCTTAGTAAATACTCACTGTCCTGTGTTGGACGAGTCATAAATTGGGCCTATCAACATTCAAGGTGGTCGAACAATTTGACATGTCTCATACTCCACAACGTATCTCTTCTGGTTGGGCTTTCTGCAATAGCTACTTCGACAACAGTCTGTCATAACAAAGCGTGCGCCAGGCAGCTTGACTTTCGGATCTATTTTACTTTAAGGGTAACTACTCGCGCACTTTTCCTCAAAACTATGGAGATTTCGTTTTTCTATGTCCGCTTGCTGTTAGTCGGTGCCGAGTCCACTAACTTCACGTTGGTATTGTTGTAACCGAATTTATTGAGCTTTTGTTCAGATTTGTAACAACAGGCTGCACTGTATGATGATCAAAACGATTTGGTTGACAGGTACAGTTGATTCATTCCTTGAGTAGGATTCCGTTCTTTGAAGCTCTACCCGGAGCCGTTTCCCAACCGTTTCATCAACTGAAGGTTCTACTGCTTCATGATGGAAAGAGCACCATACAAAGATTTGAATCATATTGTTGGTCATTAGTAGCTGCCTAAAGATAGGATGACTTCAAAAGAAGCATGACTTCTTTTGAAAAGTAGAGTAGCAATCAATCATAAGAAGACATTCTCCATAAACCGAATTTCGTGAAAACCCAGGCAAGGCTGGCGCAGCTGAGACGGATGTTTCCACAATTTCGTAAGTCAAGGACAATGTTGCAGTTCTGAGTTTAGTTCAACTCCTTCGATCCCATGGAAAGCAGCAGGGTTGCGACATACATGTGTAGAGGCTCTTCACAACAGTGAGACAACGACGTAAACGTTGCATGAAACCAGAACAGGTTGTGCCGAAGAATATATATACAAGAATCACATCGTACGGGATTTCTGTACCTACATGAGAATGCAATCAAAGGAGCAATTCAAGTTTGGCCATTGAATCCAAGCACACGAATACAGATGTTGAACTTGCACGGCTCCTTACAGAAGTATCCATCGGCCGCTGTTAAATAAAAATACGTCACGGTAACACCGGCAGTAACAGAAGGGCTAGTCCTCTTTGATGTTTGTTGGCTCACTCAACACATAAGTGGGTAGGTCATACTTAGCACCTGGCAGGCATGAATACATTATATCAATCAACAAGACCCTGAACCAATTCAGCATTACAAGAGGCCATCTGAACAACGATCGAGTAACGCGAAACCCTAATTGTATTGCAAAAGAACGCAAATAGGAATTGCAAGGTATGAAGCTGACCTCTTTCATCATAACAAGTAGACAAATCTTCAGACTGGACGATAATACCAGCGCTATCAACAATTAGTTGCGCCAGATTGATTTCAGCTCCAGCAGCAGCTCGAAGAGCGTCCCAAATTTCTGCATACACAAACGTGTAGTCAGAGCCTGCGATTCATTTGGTGGGATGCACCAAACCTGCAAAAAAACAGTATGAGAGAAGTGATGTTCCTTGAGCTATACAGTAACTAGTAGCATACCTTTCTGACCACCATAGTGAAGAGCTGTATCCCAAAACTCGTCTCTCATCTGCTTCAGCTGTGCGCGAGTAATGGCTTCAGTGTGTTTCCACGACCTTGGTTTTCTGAAATTCTTACGATGCCCTGGCAGAGAGAAAGAGAGAAAAAAGTTTATTATATTAAAGGCACCATCATTATCAAACGAAGTAGTGGGATTGGGGGTGGGAGTTAAGGGCACGCCCTGAGGCCATGCTCAATGCCTCGTAATAATGTCCAATCTGACCTAAATTCTAGACGTATTTCTGATTCAGACAAAAAGACACGGGACGCAATCTATGCGTATCATCGCCTACATCGAACGTCAGAAGTGCGACATTAATAAAAACATCATGCGATGAAATCCAAAAGGCGGTGGCTCTGACTTCAGCTTCATTGCACCCCTCGTGCGTGCAGGTTCATTCCTTTCCCTGTCATCATAAAACCAAATCTAACTGTTCTATTTCTTCCTGCTCTGCGTCACCCCATCAATTTTGCGGGGACAGGAAGATACCCATGTAGCGACCTCCTCGTGACGTGAACTGTGCAGGAGGTGTCTCGACCCAACGATAAGATTGCGACATTTTTCAAGCACAACACTCGGGAGAACGTTGCCGAGTGCCTGCCCAGAGGTAGGTTGGGATCGGAATTACAGTGTGCAATTTTCTGTGAGCAGCCATTTCTTCACAGTACTTCAAAATGGAGACGACCGACTCGGCACCCGCAACAATCAGAGGTGGGAGGAGAGGGAGAAACAAACAGTGTTGAGTGCGAGGAGGTGAAGGGAAAGAAGGCCTACTACCTACGCCTTTGACTGATCTCGATTCTACACAACCCGTGTTCTGGGTTCTGGCTGCCGGATGCGTGGACTTCACATGGCAGGCGCTCAAATTGTACACGCAATAATATAACTCTTCTCACAATCGCATCCACAGTGGCGCATTCACGGTGTCATCACTCAATCCTAGGTTGGCGGAGTACAATCATTCAAAGCACAGCAGCACAGGAAAAAAAGGTAAGGGCAAGTACACAATCATCGCAACCAAAACATCCATCCACACAAGGGTGTGAAAAGAGAGGTGTGGGGGGGTAGAAAGCAGGCAAGGGTCCATTCCAACCCAAACTTTGACGTACATTTCCGTTGCCGGAAATTGCAAAAAACAAAAAAGAAACAAAAAAGAACAAATGAGGTCTAAAACAGATTATCCGTTCTTCGCCACACTTCCAGTTCTAATCTTCACTTTATTAGCGTACGAAGTGCTCTGACAAACGGGGCGAGAAGGAAATTATTCGGATTCTCCAACTACAATGTGTCACCGTGATCACATTATAGCATTGGCTTATGGGGGGCACTATTATAAGAATCTAGATTCTCCTCCAGGTCAGAATCGAAGCCCTGCTGTTGGGGCACAACACCACACCACTCTACTCCACTCCACAGTGTTGCCATCTCCATACCAATATTAATCCCAAACTGCATCTGCGCTCTCTCGCTCTGTTGTGGGCATTTGGGTAGTGCGATGCGATGCGATGCTTTGCTTGCTTGTTGAGGCTGCATCATTCTACCGTGTCCCTCCCTCCTCTATCTTCTGAAATCCTGTGCAATTTGCAAATGCAATCCTGTGCTTGCTTGCTTGCCAAGGTGGCGTTGTTGCCATTTTCATTCTCCATGTTCATCTTTCTTTGAGGCAACGGAGGAACTGCCACAACCCCACATCACACCCCTCTCTCTTTGCCATCTAATTCTGAATTAATTAATATTTTGATCCAAGGGAAAGATTTATGACAAAAACAAAAATAACAAAAATAACAGTTCTGCTTGTGTGAGCTGTGGGTGGATGGGTTGTATTTTTTGGGAGTATGGAAGAGAAGAAAAAAATTTCCCATTACATTATAAGGTTGATGTTGTCTTCTTATTCAAGGTTGTCTATTATTATTTATATCAATATATAATAACCATATTTTAAGCAAAGCAAAGGAAGATTTTTTTTTATTGTATCAAGTGAAAAAAATGACTATGACAACAAATGTACATAAAAGATGTTATTAAATGATTTGGTATAAATTATTGTTCATACATCAAACATTATCAATACCAAAAGTATCAAAAACAAAGTTGGCATTCTATGCCACCTATTCAATTCTAACATCATTCTTAATCATTCTTTGCACCTATAACCATCATATTTCTATAACATAATTGCTATATTGCAGTGTTTGTAGCATCTTCTTGATCTCAATGACATGAATCACAACAAAACCTAAAAGACAATATATTCATGTGTTAATTTTAAAAAATAAAAAAATAAAGAATAAAGAAAGTAACAATGGTTATAAGATAGAAAAGAATTAAAGTGGCTATTGGCAAATACAAAGAAATTAGAGAGGCTTGAATTAAGATTGAATACAAGTTGAGTATTAACAAAACTAAAGATAGCATTAGTCTTACTTTAATATATACTAGTAATGAACATGGTCTTGTAGAAGCTTACTAGGGACCACAAGACTTCTGGTCAAAGTATCAAATTGTAGATTGCATTTAACTCAACTTTCTAAAAGTACAAAACTTATAAGACAAATTTCAATAGTCATGTAACATATCTATAAAAGTTTCAATATCTAATCTACATCTAAAGAGCTTTCTTGAAATTTATTAAAAAATATATTATCTTCTCAACATATTTCTTTCTATTTCTATTTACTTAAGTAATATTGGCATATATTACTTTTAATTCTACCTCTAAATTATTTCGTTAAATTTTTATATATCATCCTTTCTTTTTTATTTATAATATAATTAAAAAAATCAATAATATAAATTATACAACCAATAATGTTAAGAATAATATTAAAAATAAAAATTAATAATATTATTAATTCAGATTCATCAAATTTGATGTAAAATATTAATTTAATATATTGTGATATTATTATATTTTTGAATTTATGTGAAATACTAGGATTCATAAAATTTGATGCATTAAAAATTCTATTTGAAGTAGAAACTTGGCCTTACAAGAAGTTTTGTCTTGAACCAAGTTGTGATAGATAAGTTATTAATTTTTATTATAATTACTATTAATAACCAATGCATTTCAAAAAAATGTATTTAAACAAAATTAATTTTAACTTTTGAAATAATGTTTTTTAATGCATTAATTACATTCTAAGAATGATAAAAAGAATTGCATCAAAAGTACAGACAATGTTATTTATTTATTTATTTATATTTACTGTTAAGCAATTATGTTTATATCTTAGGATTATTTAAAGTGATTTTTTGCCATGAGACAATTGTAATTTATGCATTTTCTTTCTTTTTGGTTTTAAAATAAAAAATATATTTAAAAGATTTGTACTGGTGTTAATTTGTTTTGATTGAGATATAGTTTTTATTGGTGGATTTGTAATACTCAATTTACTAAGTTTTGTTTTTATTAACAGTCATATTCTTATTTGAAGTTTTTATTTTTTATTTTGTTTTAGATTCAACAGAATGAATATTGATTGAGATTTTGGTGTCAAGTTTGGAACATTTTTTATTTTTACTTTTACCGTTATGATAATTTTAAAAGATAACATGGCTGCAAGACAAAAAGAAATGAAAAAGTAGTTTCATCAAATCGAGAAGAATGTGCTACTTCCTGTATTTTGTAAGCATTCCTAATCTTTGATTTTCTAAGTAGTTTCACCTGTTTGACATATTGATCGTTCGTGACTAGATTGATTATTCACAGACAAGGACAAAGAACTTGTCGCAAATAATAATAATCGGTTTCGTGATATGTCGTATTTTTAAAATGTTTTGATCATTAAGAGAAAGTAGGCTAATTATTGATGAACAACAACGGAATAACGTCATTCGAAAATCAAGACAAATATTTTTTGAAAAAGAATCACTGGAACTACTTGAGGCACTTGTGATAACAAAAGATGAGATACCAAACCTGCAGCTGACAACCAATAATTCTAGTAAGAGAATTACACTAAAGCTTAGGCTACAACACGCATCTTCTGTACTACCTAGATGCAGTTCACTCAAAAGTTAGTCCTGCATCTAATTACACCAATGAAACTCTTTATGCTGGATACTTGCAGCAACTCCGGGAAAATGTGTAGAGGAGATTACGCATCATCAGAAAAATGCAGAGATTAGAGATGCGTACAGGGCAATCTAAACAGCATTTTGAGGTATTCAGCCCTTGGCAAATGATGGTGATAGATGTACAAGAGAGGGAAGCATCATGAAAAAAATTTAGATAAGATGGCCTGTCGCCTCAGGTCACGTACGCTACAACAGCTGTGCTGTCGTCCAGCTTTCCTCCAAAATAACTAGTGTACCCAGCCGCATGTGCTGCTGCTGCAAATGGACTCATTCCCTGCTTCCTTTGTCCCAATTTGTTTGCCATTGTCACCAACTGTTTCGCTAAAATCTGCGAGAACAGAGAACATCAAATATAGTAACCAATTAGAAGAATAAATCCGGACTTCCTAAATATCTAATTCTTGTAACTACTTCTAAACCATTTTAGAGAGAAAAAAAGAAACGAATATCATTAAATACCACCAGAAATTGAGCAGGTATGATTATGTGATATCTCACTCAAAAACTCTACCACAAAGAATACATAATCATTTTCCAAGCTCAAAGTAAAAAAAACCAAATAAAATCAGCACAACAAAAAGGAATTTACAGTAAAGTTCATAATACATCATCTTGTGATGGAATCCCAAATTCACCAATTACAGACCGTGTTCACAAATCATGTACAACATGAGCCCACCAAAAAATAAATGAATAAACTCCAACTGTTCACGAATATCAAAGATTGGACTTGTAGATGTAGTCGCGATAGTGATCATACCTCTGGTCCACCGCCAGCCGTGTGAACAGAATCAACAATCTCGATCACCTGTTGCTCAAATAGATTGTCCCAAATACCATCTGAGCCTAGAATTACTACATCATTTTTCTGCACTTTGATATCGTAAACCTGCATAGGGTCAGAATTAACACAGACATGTTAAAGAGGGCAACTAATGGATGCAAGATGAGATGACTAACGGCAAGTACCACATGCTGAAATTTACACATATACAAGCTTCATTTGATTTTTCAGGCCACTGATAATAGGGACTACCGAAAGTTCGAACCTCGGCCATCTCTGGGTCATCTCCGTCGGTACCGATTTGATAGGGGAAGTTGAACCCCCGGATCATAGGTTCTGATCTTGCTACGACGGTAGAATCCCGCACCACCACAAACCCACTATCACCGACGTTGGCTACTCGAAGCGTCTGCATACCAGTCTCAAGCGTGAGGATGCATGTGCATACATAGGAGTAACAATATGACGGAATTCCGTTAGACCTCATGATATTCTGGAAATTGAGCCTTAAAGTCGAGCTGAATATGATATTATATCGGATTAGGTCCGAGGCTTCGACTAACACTTACATCACAAGTGAGGTCCTACAAATCCTTGGTGGAACAATGAGACTAAATACCTCGTGAATTCTATTCAAGCTAAAAGATGGAGCAGCTAAATTGGTCCAAAACTTTTATGATGAATATGTGAGCTGACACTCCAGGAGGCGAACTTCACCTGGTCGTATAGTGAAGCAATCAATGTCGCTGCAGTGCCTTTGGACTTCGTTCGCTTAGCAGCATAAATAAGAACTGATTTGGGGTCGGACTCACTTCCAACTTTGCGAGCCCTCTCCGCACAGTTCCACATAAGCTCCCGAGCATAATCTCCAGCATTGACTCCTGTCAGATCACACGTTCAAAAAGTTGGACATCATCACTTCTCATGTATACAGACTTCTATCTATAGAAGTCAGGAAGCATAATCTAAAGTTAGGAAATAAAGATACAAGGCAAAACACCTTACAAAACATGTAGTTATGTAGAAAGCTTAAGGGGAGTAAGTAAAAGACGTTGCGAAACCAGCGCGATAATTCAAAAAACATCCCAAAATTAGCATCGCAAGAAACACGACTGGAGTTTCTAAACATACCACACTTCATGAAAGCTTTCAACTGAAAGGTAGAAAACTGTGCTATGGCTGATGCGTAGTCACACAATGCTAGGTCAAGAAATGATTACCACTAAGAGCCCAACCACCAACACCATCAGCTACTCCCACCCACCTCGTTCCATCTATGAAGTACGCATCTTCTCCTCCGATACTAGCCTACATGCCATGTAGAACAAACTAAACATGAGACAAATAGGGACAGAGCAGTCTCATGTCATTAAATCAAAATAATCAAATACAACTATAGTAGAGAGATTTACAACCTTTTTAGAACCATTAGCAAAATTGCAGAGAGAAAGATAGCTAAGACAGTGAATAAGGTCAATTTCAAGTACAATAGAGAAAACCAAAATCAGTAGAAGTTCAAGGCCAAGCACAATCAGCTCATTTATACATCTGTTTAATTTTCACAGACCTTCTCCGGATGAGGAATCATAGCAGCTGCAGAATTGAACATCACATCGTGATTCGGAATCCCTTCTTTGATTCTGACAATAAAGCGGGTTGAATGATCTAAGTTTACTCTTGTGTACACAAAGAGCAGAGTAATGAAAATGATTAATTGCGTAAATTCTATATACACCGTGAGGGGAGAAAAATTTGAAAAAAAAACAAAACAAAACAAAACAAAACAAACACTTACACCTACTGTCTGCAATGCATTTCTTCAACCTATGAGAGAAGATTGATATAGTTAATATAATTTGTGAAAGATGAGAATACGAAACAACATTGAACATCCCTTTCCTGGGCAGCTGAATCTGCAGTTATGAAGGAAGCAAGTAGAGATAAGCTAACCCGGTATCCGACGAATCAGAGCCATCACTGCTGGTTGGGGCAACTGCATTTGACGACCCGTTGCTTTTAGCTCCTGCCTGGGTTTTGTTATTCACAGACAGTAATTTGTAATGAAATACACATAATCATCTCCAGACCACGGCAATGATGTGATGCTAGGCAGACCTCAGCAGCCGATAAAGAAGAGTAACTAGATAACTGTGGGTAAAGAAGTAACTAACAATTGCAAGTGTGCAAGCAGCAAGAGCAAGATCTGCATTAAAACACTATTGGCAGAATAGAGAGAATACTTGACAACCTCTGAACAGGCACCACGTGATCACTCCCAGAGTCGTGTTCTAAACTGGCAAATTCTCACAGATATCTAACAATATGCAGAAACCAATTTCACAGTGCAGTCCAGGGGTTGTAGGTGACGCTAGGAATCCCCCAGACCTTCAGGTCTCTTCAGGGGAGGTTCCTACATTGTAAACTAGCTACATCGCCAAGAACACGGAGATTACTGCAATATATTGTGGATACAACAGTACACAATCAAACACAGCTTGTGGCTTTTCAATTATAAATGGATACCTTGTCTGCTATTTCCGACTGGCGCTGTTCTTTAATTCTTGATGCTTCTGCCTTCAGTTCATCGTCCTCCTTATTCAGCTCTTCTGCGAGTTCCTCGGCACCATGAACTAAATCACTCAAGCTTGCTGCATCTGGTACATCCTCGATGTCAGACGAATCCTCTGCACCTGCTGCGGAGTTGCCCACGACACTCTCGTTGCGGCTTATATTCACACTAGCCTTCACGTCTCCAGAGTCTGAACTATTAACTTCAGCAATGTTTGTTTCACTTGATTGTGCATTAGAGGTCTGTTGTTCAGTTGAACCAAAGTTGAACATGATGCTGCCATCTGCACACTCTGCGACGAATAATTGCAAAACATCAGCAACTGTGAACTCAGACAAGGTCCCGATTCGGCCTAGCAATGAATTGAGCTAAACAGTGGCACCAGGGCGGCCTTTGATGCGATTCAGAATGGATGTCTAAAAGCTTACTCTATGTCACATCTGCATCATTTGTGCTAGATCTTGTCTATCACAAAGAACTGAAGTCAAAGTTGAAACCAAAATCAAAACTAAACTAAAAGTTTCAAATCCAGGAAGAGGATCATACTTTAGTCACCTAACACCATACACTTGAAAGCAGTGAATTTTGTTCAAGCTATTGAAGCAGAAATTAATACCTTTGGTGTTCAGAAGAACAAACGTAGTGGCTGGCGGAAACGGATCATGTGACGCACACTTCACTGTGAGTAGCGAAGGAAGCCGAGAACTCTTCTGAGTCGGCCTATGAGGATGGGGCAACACGGACCGAGCATAATGAGGGAGAGAGGAGCCCTTGATCCCAAGCACGAATTTGCATTGGCTTTGACAGAACAATAAACCTCGACTTCCTAAAGCAGCTGCTCGCACGCCCACCACTGACATGGTTGGATTGCAACAGGTGTTGTTCATAGTCTTTCCACAGCTCTAAATATTTTCAAATTTTCCCCTTGAACCAAAATCTCTTTACGCCGACATTGCCTTGGTTACTGAAATGCCTGCACACCATGAATGCGACATTTCTTGTGATAATCGATTACTTTTGGGATCATCTTCTCTAGAAAGTTCTACTAAAGCGAAAACATAAGCAGATGCGTCCAAAACCATCAGCTACGATCGGAGTCGCCATTGTGGTTTAAATCCAAAAAAAAATGCGCATATAAATTCAATCTGATGAAGGTGCAACAACGTCCCACTTTCAAAACTAAAGCTCTTCATTATTCTAAATTTTGTATGGTTTCAAGGCAATGATCTTAATGTTGAATAATCTCAATTCGAATGCCAGAGATACAGCGCTAACACAAACGAGACCAATAAAACCGGAGAAGAAATTAATCGAAGACTGCTTATCCCAGAATTAGAGCTACACTACCATACAATGAATCGAAAACTGATCCGGTGCGATCGTAGAATCAACAACTCTCTAGGGGTACACCCAGAATACACTTATGTTTGCCATGATGCACGATCCAGTCTAGTATACAATGCAAGCCAAAATTTTAAGCACAAACAAGACAAGAATTAAAACCCTACCACTGTATTCCCGCCCTTAGCCGTTTCATGTGAATCTCATATTCCCAACGAGACTGAAGACTTTAACACAATCCGCTCTATAATGAAACATGATCCATGAACAATCCAAAAGTTTCTTCTACTCACGACGACAAGGATCACTCCCAAAACCCCAATAACCCCGAAAAAAAACCCTAAAAAAGCACAGTCTCAATACACGCCAGCACTCACAGCAAAATGAGAATCACCTCGATCAGAACAGAATAAGATGACAAATAGAAAAACCAAAGAGCTAGCTATCTCAACCTCAACGATCGCCAGCTGCAATCTCTGCGAGACGAACTCACGCAGACAACGGAGTGGAAAGGACCAATACCTGGAGAACACAAATTCCACAATTGCAGCCCAACACGGCGCAATGACGACACACACACACACATGCACAGTATTGGAAGATTGCGCACAAGCACAGGAAGAGAGGAGAATCCGAATGACTCACTCACTCAGGAACAACAACAACAACAACGCACCTGGTCCGACGCACAATTGAAGGCCGACTAATGGGAGGAAAGCCTGCTTCGCGGCTAATGCTGTCAAGATAGACACAAAGATAGACAGATGGATAGATAGATACTAGGGTTTCACGCCCTCTCTCCCCCCAATCTTCAATTTCCAAGATTATACCAATACATCTACTCTCTGGAAGAGTTCGCATTATCCTAGATAGGTGTTGAATTGATCTACGTAATATCAAGCGAGTGGATGAAGTGATTGAAAATATCTCGCCCACAACAAGGACCACGTGGAGGCACACGTCCCCACGGTGGGGAACGCCACGTGGAGTGTGCTATTCACACTTGTTCCGTCATGGCATCGATGAATCGTTACGTGGATGGATGATGGCGTGGATGGATGATGGCGTGGATGGATGATCACGATGAACATGTGGGTAGTGATTCTTGTTTTTAACCTCAAAAAAAAACTAATGATTTTGGATGTGTAACTCACCTTCGTCTACTTCTAATACTAAAAACATGACTAATGAGTTCTTTTTATGTTAACAATATCAAAGAGTAAAGTACTTTCAAATCCAATGAATCATATCAATAGAGCTTTTATTCATATTCATAAATCAATCATGTTTTGAAATAAATACTTATTAAAAATATATATGTATTATCTTGTAAGGAGATCATTGAGTTTTATTATTTTATTGGTGCAATTGTATCAATGAAAAAATCTTTCAAACGTAAATTTCAATTACTTATAAAATCATTGGTGTATATATATATATATATATATATATGTGTGTGTGTGTGTGTGTGTTGTAATAGTTTTCTCAAAATCATCAATTAATTTTTATTTATTTCAGAGTTTACACAAGGTTGCTGATTGCTTATGTCAATGCTTCTGTTGTGCTAATTTTATTCACAGCTTTGATTTTATAATTATAATTTTAAAAACAAAACTAAGCATCAGAATAGATTGTTTCATCAGAAATGTAAAACTAAAATGTGTGCAACATACAAACTTGGATCTATTATCTTGTCAGCAACCAACATATGTTCTTTTTAAGATATTAAGATTGAAAAAATAAATGAAAAGTAAGAATTAAAACTTTCAATATTATTACCAAGTATTAGTTGACTTTTGGAATGCAAGTAAATTAAGAAAGCAAAATAAAAAGCAAAATAAAAATAAATAAAAAATGTAGCTGTAATTCATTTTTATTTATATGATCATGAGTTGGTCTACAAGAAAAAATATAAGTACATCAAAATTTTGAATCTTGCAAGATTGGTAATTGATTTTGACTTGAACAAAAAAGGCACTCAGTTCAACCACTTTATGTAAAATTTGTCAACAATCTACACCAAAGATGTGCACTCTGTTAATATTTATGTTTTTAGAGTTCAAAGTCACTCATATATATATATATATATATATATATACATACTGTACTATAATTCATAACAACCTATACAACACATAATTTGACAACCTAATTAAATAATAATCAAATATGTACAACAACCTTTGACAGTCACCTAGTCACGTCAAACAAGATATTATTCGACCAATAAACTAATTTCGTGAAGTGAAAGATAGTGTTAATGTTAAGGATTCATGATCTTATAAAAATGATATTTAATACAAAAAAAATAAATAATGTAATTCAGTCATGTATCTTGGTATCACAGAAATGTTTCAATAACTTGATGAAGGTCATTGTAAATTGCTGAAGGAGTGATTGATTTGTAAATTTTCAAACCAATAGAAAGATACAAAAAAAACCAAACATTAAATCTTTATTCCACAAGATAGAAATCTTTAACTTATAACTAATACATCTACAGTAGTAAAATACAATAATATAAGATAAAATTAAATAAAAATAAAAATTCATTATTAATTTAACATGTAAAATTATAGAGCGTTCTAAAAAAATACAATTTAAAAATAATTATTATAAAACAACTACAATTTTTTAACTTTATTCTTATTATGTAATAAATTAGCTAGTTTTTCTTTTATATTTTGGTTTTGTTAAATATTTTTTTATAAAATATCCTGATAAACTTCAACATATGAAAAACTATATTATTGAATCTTGATCAGAATTTACAGGGATTTATAAAAATAAATTTCTGATTTTATTAGTTAAATGTAGATTTATTTTTTAATATGTTAAATTAATCTAACGTATTTAAACTGAACTCAAGTTTTAAATAGAAAACCTTAAAGTAAGCTATTAAAACGATTACAGAAATATTAATTTTGAAATAATCATCACAGAAAAGTATCTTTTATTACTTTGTAACAAAAGCAACTAAAATTGAACTAGTGGGTTGCTAAAACAGCTTACAAAAACTTAAGTTTCAAATAGATTTTGTAACTTTATAATATTTTGTAATATTTTACTCTACTCAATTTTTCATTGAAATAAGTATATTTATTATTCTTAAAATTAGAGAATCCTCAAGAAAATTACATATTTTACAAAAAGTAAAAAAAAAGATAATATCTATATCTATATATGTATTCATATAAATATATTCAACAAGAAAATATAGTTAAACTATATTAAATATTAATTTCATAATTAGATTTTGAAAAAATATAAGTTATTTCCAAATACTAAATTGACAAACTAAAACAAAAAAAAAATCAATTTTTTGGTAAAATATTTAATTTTAAAGATAAAAAATTAATTAAATATAATATTAAATTGAAGTTACTTAATGACATATTGTTATTTTTGTTTATTTTGAATAAAATTTTAAATACAAATAACAAAATTTCTTATATACTATGCAGGAAAGCACACTTGATGACACATAAAAGAGAGTTAAACCCATATTAAGCAATACAAAATTATTTTTTGTTTTTAAAACAGTTATTTCTACAACAATTGTATTAAATTCTTTTTTCTTTAATAACAAACTTTATTTAACCTTAAATTTAAATTCTATCAATACTAACAATAATTTGTCACTGGAAAGAGATCTTAAGATTAAAATTAGTGTTCCAGCTTTTGTAATTTTTTATTTTTTTATTTTTGAAAGGAGAATATTTGATTTTATGTTCTTGACATACTATAGTTGCATTGATTTAGAAATCTTCAATTTGAATATAATAATATGTTTTATTTTATTTTTAAAATTCTATATTAAAGTAATTTTTTTTTTATATATTTTCTGTATTAATATGTAGTGTTCATAATTTAGAAACTATAAATAATTTTTTAGTTTCTAAATTAAATATATACATACTTTTTTTAATGAAGTATCATTAAAACATGATCTTCATCCTTCATTTCTATAGATTTAAATACGAAATTCCTTTGTAATAAGCTTATCTTAATACCACTATATATATATATATATATATATATATTGTTTTATATTAAAACAAGATATTAATATTTTACAATATAATTATTCAAGTTAAAAAAATTGTCACAGGTTTAAAAAAAAAATCTAAAATTATATAAAAGACTTTTTAAGAGTACAGATTAGATAATAAAGTACATGTTTTTGCTTATATCAATATTTTAACGAAAACCAAAATCATCAAATATTTTTATGAATTGAAATTATTGATTACTAAAATAATAACAAAGTAATAAAAATAATACATCTCAGATTTTATACATTAATTTGATTTATAATATTACAGAGAAAAATAAAAATATGGTATATTATAATAAAATATTATATTACTAAAATAAAAAATTAAATAGAATTAAATTATAACATGTTGGAAAAATAATAATATCTTTAAGAAGCTTTAAATATGTTTTTTGAATGTGGATTAGATATTTAGATTTTTGTAGATATACTAAATAAATGATTTCTTTGTATTTGACATAAGCCATTTTAATTCTTTTCAATCTTTTAACAAATTCATCTTTCTTAAATTTCTCCTTTCATAGGTAACACATAAATATATCATATTTTGGGTTTTATCCAGCTTTTTGTTGTTCAAAATTTGACAAGATTAATAACTTGCTATAGTTGTTTTGTTTAAAAAATGAATGGATTAATCTATCGCTTAAGAAATAATTTTGTGGTTTTATAGATTGTTGAATACTAAACTTTAGACTAACATTTTTCTTTGATATGTATATATATATATATATATATATATATATATATATATTTCTTAAAATAATGTAAATACCTCTTTTTGTACAAATTTTTATTTGGTGATGGAGGTTGTGGATTATCCTTATTTAATTTAACTTGTGTGTATGTATTTTATTTTTTATTTATTTTTTTAATTGTTTATAACTTAGATGGAAGAAAAAAATATATGAATGTTATAATTAATGAAAATAAGAATGTATTTTAAACTATTAAAAATATTCATAAGCTTTTTAATATTCTTTCAATTAAAATATCACATATTAGCAATTTTATTTATAAAATCACTATTGCTATATCTTTGGAAGAAGTCAACAATGATGTCATCTCAAGAGTTATTATTAGATTTTAAAATAAATATAGCACTTAGGTTGTCTTAACTTAGAAAATATTAGAATTATCATGAAAAACTTCAAGAAAGACATATTCTTCTATAAATACATAATAAGATATGACATATTTAATACAACTAGCTTAGAAGAGATTCTTGATGTTCTATGATACTAAAAGATGATGGTCTTTTTGCCCTATTATAGAATATTATCAATGGTTAAAAGAACTAATCAAACACTTTTGTATAGAGCATAGATCATGGTATATCTACAACATCATGTCAAAGATCTTCAACTTCACTAGTTTGTGAAATAATTTGATTGTTTCTCATGGAACTTGTTGCCTAGAAGAGGAAGTATTGTAATAAATTTCCATAGTTTTTAAACAAATAATGATAAATATAATTAAATTGAAAAAAATTTGAAAATATTATAACTTCCTTTAGAAGCTTTGAAGAAGTTTCTTGCATAAAGATTGGATAATCAGGCTTTTATTGATATGTCACATGATTGTTTTTAA